GTGGTTTTTTTTTTTTTTTTTTTTTTTTGGAAATTGGTGCGGGTGGCTAATGGTTGGCAGGGCGCTTTATCTTCGGAATGATCCATATGAGACTTCGGATGCGGTCTTTGGAGTCAAGGATTCTCTGGTAGTGGATATCGGGAAGGCAGGTCCGGAGTATGCGAAGAAGTATGGTGTTTCGGAGGACCATGCTCTCCTTACCTACGACTTTGTCTTGGTTTCTGATTCCGAAACCAACGCTTTGCGCGAGCAGAACTCCAAGGTGGCGCTGGATAAACTGGGCCGCAAGGTGAAGATAGTGAACGGTTTGCCTGTGCCGGATCTGGATTAGTCAATAGACTTTTGGATGTGATGTGAGATGAATTAGTAAGATCGTCATTTATGTCGTTATGTACACTATCAATAGAACATGGTATTAATTGCCGCTACGAGGTTCAACCATGTCTCCGAAATCATCCCCATCGTCAGCGGGCAGAATTGCGGGGGTATTGGCCTCTTTTAAGCACCGCAGTCCCTCGCCGTCCTCCAGCCAGCCGCCGACCTTCTCCACCCCCTCGATATACTCCGCGCCAACCCGTAAGTTCAAGCTTGCACTGAGCGCTCGTTCAATCCGGGTTTCACGGGTCTCTGAGATGAGGACTCGGAAGACATGCGCAAGAAACCCGCTCAGGATATCAACACTCCAGTTATCTGGGACAAGCCGGAGGACCTCGCCCACATCGAACCAGGACGCAAATCGTGCCAAGAGGTCACTAGTTCGTTCGATGCATTCCGAGGGGTCCTGGATATGTAGAAACTCATCAAGCAAATGCCTGAACAGCTCACTTTGGTGTGACCGGTCAGCAAACTCTGTCGAAGTGTTGGCCGAGCTGGTACTCCGAGGACCGCCGAATAGGCAGTATCGAACTGCAGAGTCGTAGTCGCCGAGGCCATGGGTAAGAAGGTGCAGGGCTTCCCGATGACGGCCCTGGAGCCCATCAAGAATAATAGACTCCGATACGAGTTCGTTTTGGAATGGCTCAATCCGTGCGAGGACAGCAGGAATGGAATACGTTAATTTAGGGGACGGGACCGACGAGAATTGACTACTACCGCCTCCGCCAAGCAACTGGAGAAGCCGAAGTCGCGATTGCCACCAAGGTTCAGAGGGCGTGTTTTCGTGGATAAAGTTCATATACGTCGGTTTCGGCGGCTGCAATGCACGGTAAGTCGAATATGATTCCGCAAGCGATGACCGAGCAGCAGGAGAGGTCTCAAGAACAGAGAGCACAGTATCAAGATAATATGAAAGGAGGTCATCTGCGTATTGGGTATACTAGTTCAAGAGTCAGTAGAGAGAGGGTTAAACAGGGAGATGGGGTAGAACCAACATTCTTTGAGAAGACCAGGTGCTCCAAGTAATCTTGAACCGCGTTGGGCGCTCGTTCCTTGAGCAAGCGGACAACATCTACAGGGTCTAATTTGACTCTGCTGGTATTGTCCGCAAAGACTTGTATACCAAGACTGGGGTTTCGCTGGGCCAACCAAGCACCATATTCCTCAACAAGCTGTGCATCTTTGATCTTAACCAAATACCTGCGCATCTGTGCCTCAACGCCAGAGGCGGTGGTCTCACCCCCAGAATCTTCCTCCCCTTCAATGATCCGCCGCCACGTCTTGAGTACGTTACGGGACATCTTCTGGCTCTGGTACAAGCGACTCAGGAGAAATAGTCGCTTGTAGTTTTCCAGAAGCGCTACTGCCCGGTCAAAGTTACCCTTCCAATTGTCCACTAGCCTATTTAACTCCGTACGTGTTCGTGAAGAAAGGCGGTGTTCCGTAGGTATATTCGAATCTTGTTCTAGTAGCAGATGCAGGAGGGCCGCATCGACGCTATCGAATATGTAAGTGTCGTCCGTAATGCTGCCATATCCTCGTTTTTGCTGCCAGGCAAGTAGGAATCGCTTGATCATATTCAAGATTCCACTATCAAAGACGTCCGGTTCTTTAGAAGCCTTTACACTATCCAGGCGCTTAAGGTACGCCTCTGCAACCTCTGCCAGGCCTCCATGAATCCAGATGCCCTGCGGTCCTTGCAAAACTTCTTGGCGCAAAAGGGGGACCAACAACAACGCCACTCGAGGGTCCAGCTCCCCGGTAATGAGTGCTTTCTCTGTAGCATCGATCGTCGCTCCATCCCTGACAGTCGGGTCCATGGAGACCAAATCGCCAAAGAGGAGTAAACTGGATTTTTGCTTTACGTAGTTCAAGCCCAGGAACTCAGCCTCAGACTTGGGCTCTGCTTCTTGTACCATTTTGATAATGTCCATAATCGCATCACGTCTCAAAACACTGTGGCCGTTCTCCTGCGATTCTCGGGCACTTTGAAGCGCATCATTCAGTTGCGCGGTCAAAGGGTTCTTCACGACCCGCCATATCTGATTACCACTCCACAAAACAAGGCTGCTTTGGGTTTTGCCCAATTCACGCGCGAATTTAGCCTCGTCGGTATTTCGCTCAGCTTCCCAGTCGGGGGTGTCTTTCTTCGTTCCTTCGGTGTCTATTGCTTCCTGAGATTCGAACAGTTCCTTTTCTTTCTGTAGCTGCTCTATCGATGCCTGTGTCCTCGGGTCGGTTGCAGGTATGTGTGGTGATAGTGATGGTGTTCTCAATCGGACCATCTGCAGCAGGCCTCTCATCTCGCTTACTTCGAGCTGGCTGGGGGAGAGTGTATGGAGAAGTCCAACATGAGATGGCTGCGTATCTTGTAAGGAAGGTATCTCTACCCAGCTTTTGTGGTTGTCTGCATTGCCGGGGTCGACATCCCAAAGTTGTACCTCCAGGAACTTGCGTAACTTTCCGTCCTGGTCGGCCTCTATGACTGCAAGAATGAGATCCTCGCGGGTGTCGTTGGGTGCTCCAATAAGGTTATTTTCATTGCCTTTGTCAATGACAACAGACTCCGGGTACCTGTGAAACGTGATTGTTCCGCGGACCACATCACCGTCCACGTTGACAAACATTCCAACTCCTGGTTCTGCCGTATCGGTGCCCCTGACCAGCAAAAACTCAGATGAAGTCGGAGAAAGAATATGTGGCTTTAATTGTGTCGACGGTTGCTTTGGCAATGGCGGAAGCGGTTTTGGATCCTCACGAGGACTAGACAGCGAATCGCGCGATGGATGCTCCGATGATGCCCTTGGCGAAATACTATCACCTCGTTCCTTCGAGCGTGAACGGGTGGGCGTCCCGGAAGTGGAGGAGAGTTCGGGTGTTACAGAGCTCGAACGATCTTGTGAAGCTGATCGTGCATTCGACTGAAGCATCCCGGCGAGTGTATTCAAACTGGGGCTTCTGCCATGTGCATGACCCTCCGCAGAAGAGCTAGGTGACAACGAGGCGGGTGGCATATCTTCCACTTGGCCAGACGCTAATGCTTCATCGAAGAAGGACATTGGAAAGAGAGGTATCTTTTGCTGGTGTTCCACATCTAGCAGGGAGTATGAGCGAGCATCTGCAGCACAGGCGATTATGCCTCTTCGTGATGCTGTTAAACATCCCGGAAACTCAATGTTTCGCACCAGTCGAGCATCGTCACCAATCCGCACAAGCATCATTTTGTTCTGCGTTGCAATCATTACAACCGGTCTCTCCGGCTCATCCATGGATGCATTCTGGTCAAGACCCCCGATCCAACAACAGTTGTTAACCTTCGTATTCTCGCGGAATGCTGGGCTGAGCTCTGGTAACAAGTAGAACGTAGCCGTTCCATTGCAGAGAATACAGGCTTTGTTCACGGATGGAAGAAGAACAATTTGCTGGATGCCTTGCTGCCTGTTCGTTACTGAAGCGGTCTTGGAAAACGGAATGGGCAATCTCGAGGCTAAAATGAAGGACGGCTCGTTGGTGCCGTCCGATGGATCGGGCGGAAGGCAGACAAAATGTAAGATCTCGGCAGCGGAGGTTCCGATATAGAGGTTGTCATCTGTCAATGACAGTTAGCGCATTCAATGGGATTGTCCAAGCGATGTAGTTTTGAAGCAGACATACTCCAGTATTCAACGCAGGTGATATGGACATCAGCATTGGGGTCGTCGGCCGTTAGAGGTACTTGATCGAAAAGAGGTCGTAACATATAAGGTACGGCTTTCGGCGGAGTGATCTTCCGCTTCTTGCGGGGAGTGGTGCCATCGTCTTCCGACACCATAATGAGGCCCGCTCTGGTGTCACGATATGAGATGGTTCCTGACAACCTTAAGGCTTCTGAGGGGAAACGTCGGAAGCTTTGGAGGTGATGTCCTAAAGTGGCTTAAGAGTGGGCCAAAGCCGGGGCTAGCTTTTGCTGACTCAGGCGCCCCCAGTGGAGTATTTTCTTGCCTCTAGTATCAAAACTTGCTCTCCACCATATCAAAGTATGCTTTGCTTCTTATTATATAGTTAATTAGGAACACAGTTTAGGCCACTCAACTATGCAACTGTCCGTCCCTTGTTATCAATTGTATTGTCTCGGTTATGGGCTCTTATAAGCACCATGCTAAGTGTGTACAACATCGCTTGGTATATCCTACAATGTCTATGGAAAATTGTGAATTGAAATGAACAATGTTTGCAGGTGCCAATTGAGCAACTAAGTATGCATGAAACAACAATAATATGGATAGATATTCAGTGCCAGCGCCATTAATCAACAAGAGGTTTTATATGACATGTAAGACTGTCTACTACGTGTCCCGCGGCACATGTCATGTAAATCTAAGAAAAGCAGTAGCTTACGCGTTCGGATCATCGTCGGGCCGCCCGGAGCGTCTCATGTCTCCGCATCGCATACTGTATTGTTACTCAGGGTCTCTTCTTCTCAGAAGTGGTGTTGACGTTCTTTTGATTTGGTGGGGCTGTCGTTCAAGATTCAATGTACTTGTAATAATCTATAAACATTCCCAAGGATGGATTCTTTCGCGCTTACGGAGGGCATTGTGCCTGATTCAAACAATCAAGATGGCCACGATGCCGAAAAGGACAGCAGTGGAAAGTTGCCCGAGGGGGCTAACAAGTTCCAACGCGCTATTGCGGCTTGGAGAGGTACCTTTCCTAGAATGACATATTCTGACGTACCCAGTTTGGAAACTAACTTGTCGGCTTTAAACAGGCATTGACCTGTCCAATACGATCGCGAAGTTAGATTCGACTGCCTCCGACATTGTCGCTCAGCAGCGCGATGCCCTCGTTCAAAGGAAGGATCTCGCCCAGAAGACGAAGGATTTTCGAAAGCTGGATGACGCGACCAAGCTGGCGGAATACAAGGGCCTGTTGAAAGGTTTGTGCCGTTCCCTACGGATCTCGTTTCGACACTGGCGGGCTAACGGATCTATGACCAGCGTACCAAAGCTTTATCGACGTCTTGACGAACCAAGGGAAGGCCTCTTCCAACGCTTTCTTACAGCTATACTCTTCATTGTCAGAGGCTCCTGACCCTTATCCACTCCTCGAGGCATCCATCGACTCTCTCGTTCATTCCGAAGAAACCGTGCCCAAATTAACCTCCGAACGGAATCAACTACAGAGCAACGTGGACCGCCTTACCTCCCAATTAGACGATGCCGAGAAGCGGCTGGAAGAAGAACGGACTGCAAGAAAGAAGTTGGAGGATAATCAGGAATCAAAGATTAAAGAGATTGAGTCTTCTTGGTCGGCCGTTTTGTCGGAGAAATCGAACAATTGGGCCGCCAAGGAGAAGAGCTTGGAAGAAAAGGTAGAGAACCAAGAACGCTTGATTAAGGAACTCAAAGCGAGCTACGAGGTTTCACAGCGGCTGGGCCAAGAAGAGAGTAGTGGTGATGGCCACCAGCAAGGAGGGGCTACCGCTGCGGAACTGGAGCTGGTGTCAGCCGATCTCGAAAAGACTAGTCTTAGGCTGGCAGAGGTAGAGGCACGGAATGAGCAATTGAGACTTGAGCTGGCTCAAGTTGTCTCACATTCGCAGCCAGAACAAACAACATCCGTTGAAGAAGACCCCGCATACCTTCGCCTTCAATCGGAGAACTCTTCCCTATTGCGCAAGCTGGATGCAGCACGGTTTGACAAGGAGTCAGAACGGCATTCTTGGGAGGCCAAGATATCGCAATCCGAGAGACATGGCGCCAAAGTTGCCGCTGAGAGAGATGAGCTACGAACGAGATTGGAAAAGGTCGCAGATTATGAAGATATCCGCCGGGAGCTGGAGATGATAAAAGTAGGTGGTCATGCCCTATTTCTCGGATGAATGCTAATAGCCGTCTATAGTCTATCGAATTTTCTGCCGGTGACGATGATGATGCCCGGGACTCTACAGATGATGCCGCGATCGCCGCCAATGGCACTCCCTCCAAGGATGGTGCAAAGAACAGTTTAGAGCAGCTTTTGATGTCTAGAAACAAGAAGCTCACGGATGAACTCACTATTCTACGGGTATCACACCGGGACCTTCAGGGCCAACTCGAGACCTTGCGTGAAGATCTGTCAACGACTAAGGAGGAGCTTGAAAAGTCCCAGAAACTCTCTACTACTCTTGAGAATGATCTCCTTCGGGTGCAGGAAGAGGCAGCGAATGTTTTCCCGTCATCTGCGATGTCCGTGGCAGGCACCTACACATCTAGGCACCCCTACTCTCGCCGGGGAGGTACGTCGCCGACATCATCAATCATCTCGGGCTTTGATCATTCCTCTGGGTCTTCCAACACTATGGATGCCATTCGAGCCGGAGAACCCGTTGGGGGCGGCTCAGGCCTGTTGCCGATGATCCAGGCACAGCGAGACCGGTTCAAGAAAAAGAATGCGGAGCTAGAGGAGGAGCTCTCAAAAATGTACAACACAGTAAAGTCGCTTAGGCAGGAAGTTTCTACCCTTCAGAAGGATAACCTCGGCCTGTATGAAAAGACACGATATGTGTCAACGTACAACCGTGGCCAGGGGGGCTCCTCTTCTGCGAGTGCCTACGGAAACAAGCCAAGCGCATCCTCCGTTCATCTGTCTGCGGACACGCCATCGGGGCTGTCACTTGATCGCTACCAATCTGCTTATGAAGCCCAGATTTCGCCGTTTGCTGTGTTCAAGGGCCGGGAATCTGTACGGGCATATAAACGCATGAGCCTCCCTGAGCGGGTTGTCTTCTCTCTCACCCGAATAATTCTGGCTAATCGGACCAGCCGGAACCTATTTGCGGGGTATTGCTTCGCCATCCATATTCTTCTGTTTGCTATGTTATACATGATGAGCACGATGGAAATAGAGAAGCACAGCGCAAGCTTAGGTGCTGCTGCTCTGGCTGGTGGAGCCGGCAACATCCATAGTAGCGGCCAGCAATTAAATGGGGATGACTGGCAACAAGAGGGTTTTCATCATGGCGGATAGACTGTGGGCTGGACTATCACAAATTTCCTGGATGCGATTTCACCTTTGGTTGATTTGCGGGAGTTGGCGTCTACCGGCAGTTGATATTAAGAATGTACTATCCATCACTCTATATTTCAGATTAGCTCTGCAGGCAAGAAGTTAGACTACTATCTAAATACCCTTTTTATTCCCATAGCTGCACACATCTTCAATTGCGAGAGATAGTTCACAACTACCTAAGATAGTATCCCTCTTGAAAAGTTTATTACCAGTCTTGTGCAGAGTAATAGATAATCTATCGACTATCGATAAGTATCTCTCAATAGCCTTCAGCTATATTCAGTTACTAATAACTATTATAAAACCTTATACTTGAAGATGTTAGTACATATGATCATAGGGTGTGGAGAACTGGGTGATTAAGGGTGAGCGAGTGGGTGGGCGGATGGGTGAGTTGATATTTAGAGAACTTTTTGTAGTATAAATAGAATCAGGGCTTATGCTTCGGGGTGCTCAGAAGCGTAGGGAACATGTAGAGCCTATGCTATACGCTCTTGACTGCGTCCACTGTGGTGCTACGTGTCGACGAAACCCAACGGTGCAAAAGTTGTATTAGTGGTGTTGACCGTACTAAGGTCGGACGTGTCGCGGAGATGTCCGCCGGTATGCTGCTACGCTTTTATAAGTACATATGCCAGGGATTCTATATAACTTCATTGAGGAGCTTACAAATCTATTTAATGGTGGTCCTCTTTCCTAGAACATGAGCGGAGGAACAATTACTGTGAAGAGTGGCGTATGACTCACCGCTCCAACTATTTGTCCTCACAGATGACGCCTACTATGTACATGTGTCCAACTTCGCTAGTAGTTCGTTATTTATGAGAGGCTGTGATGGCACAGCCGCAATCCACTAGTTAGCTGATGCGGAATAACCTCGCCATGGTGAGCTAGTAGCGTTTTGGGCATGTTGGGCATATATCGCTGATAATACGAGGCTGCTTTAACATACTCTGGGACCCAAGGAAACATCACTTTCTAGTATAGCGTTCAAGAGGACATGGAAGGGCTTCGTGCAGTATCTTACCCAATCGTTGACGAAGCTGCACTGTCCTCTACTACCATACACCCAAGCCCAGAAAAGAAACAGAGCCCTTCGCCTCCATTTTCGACCGGCGCGAGCATTTGTATGCCATCTGCACATATACATCCAGCAGGAGTCAACTTTCAGTACAAGTTAATCAAGCCACATGAAGACCTTTACGCCTATTTGGAAGTTGACCTTACGACGCCGAAGCTTAACCGGATTCACCGATTCTTATGGTTAGCTGGCTTACCTCGGCCAGCTCGGCCACTACATCGACAAAAACTGATGAACCGCTCGATTACCTTGACTGAATCGCCTGATGAACATTTGGTTTGGCACCAGGGTCAGATTTTTATCAAACCCATCCCTGAGTATCTTCTTGATCATGGGTTCTGGATGAAAGAGCTCTGCCCCCACCTAAATCTACACAGCTCCGCGTGCGGACTGCTTTTGTCTTATGCCTGGCTTATCAGCTCAAAGTCCGACTTCCAAATTGCTAAAGATGAACGAATTCTCAGTCCTGAAGTGACCTGGACTGCATGGGTATCATTTGTTCGAGACTTCTTAGAATGGACTGGTGACACTGGACTTGGTCCGTACCCTATTACATGTGTTAATGAACGCTACCAGTATGGAGAACTACGCCTCACGCGGCTTAATTCTCTGTACAAATTCACACCATCGACATTCTCAGTACGCAATTTTATTTTTGGCTTTATGTCAAGCTCAACATGGTATCGTGCCTTTTTTGAACGAAATTTCTCGTGGATCTTCGCTGCTCTGGTTTACGTATCAGTTCTGTTGTCGGCAATGCAGGTTGGCTTGGCAACCAGTGAGCTGACGGAGAATTACAACTTCCAAAGATTTTGCTATGGATTTGCGTTGGCTTCTATCATATCTACGCTTATTCTTGTAGGGATGATTGCCGTGTTTTGGGCGTCTTTGTTCTGCTACCATCTTTGTCTGACAATCGTATACCACAGACGGGTTCAGAGGGAGAGAGAAGGTTAGCGCAACTACGGCGTGTATGCGGTCTACAATGTAATTATTTACAACGATTTCTTGAGCAGAAAATACCCAGGCTGAGATTATCAGCATCGTGTTTTAAGGCAATCCAGGGGTGGCGAAGAAAGGTGCCCGACTTGCTGCTAAAGTACGAGCTACACCGCCACTGAGGAGTCAGCCTTGTTTGATTCGATGTAGACACTAGAATCAATGACATATATCCGTTCTTCTACTCTCTGGACTCTGTAGGTAATAATCTGCTCTTCGGACCCGGAAGCCATCATCATGTCTGATAACGCAGGACCAAAACGGCTACTCGGAGTGGAAGATGATAATGGGGTCCATCCGAAGCGGGCCAGGTGCGATGATCCTTCGATCGGTCACTGGGATAGTATTCAGGCTCTCTCTCTCAACACTTACGAAACAATCAATTCCCAAATCCAGAATAATGCTACACAGGGAGGTGATTGTTCCAACAGAGCTTCCGCCCAGCACATGCAGAGTAGTTGCCGTTCTCCACGCTTTGATGGAATCTGCCTAACTGTTGAGATAGATATTCTTCCACCACTTTTCAATGTCCAGAAAAGTTCCTCAACAGACGATCTAGTCCAGTCCTCTGACCTCAGACCCGAGTCCCCACATAACCCTCAGGAGGATATCTGTTTTGGAATGGTGCGGAATAAGTCACTATCCTTTTGCTCCGGCTAGGTAGCTGGTCCGTCCCCGGGGTTTCTAATGAAGTATTATAGTTAAGAGATATCCAAATTCGGATCGAACACATCCGAGACAACAGACCTATTCCACCGGATGAAATTGCAAAGGAGGATGTCTTCGCTTCTCTTGAGCTTAACATCCAGAAGGACCGGTGTGATATTCTAGTAAACGGAGTCCGCATTGCTACAATGAATAAGAAGACACACATTGTGCTTAAGGCCCTCACATTTGTAGGGTCTGTTACATGGACTGGCCAAGTACCACGATCGGAACTCTGCCAGAAGTTGGCCGCAGCAGCAAAGTCCTCGGCCATAGGCCCATCGAAAATAACCTGTGGAATGTCGATACTTATCTTTGGTCCTCCATCTGTAGCAGAGACACTTGCAAAGGAGCTAGGCCGCTACCGCTTATTTCTGCAACACCCTCAACCGATGCCAATGCATGCTGTGTATAAAAACCCTCAATACCTAAGCATAGTGGCACCTTCATTCAACAACGGCGCCATACTGCCTCCCATTTTGACGGAGTGTAGTCAGCTAAATACGAATACGTCGGATGATCTTGATCAGGATAAGATGATTAATGTCCATACCGTAATGGATGATCTTCCCAATCCTGATTATCTGGAAGAAGCTGATATTCACGGAAGTATCAGGACTGATCTGAAAGGGTGATGATCTCCTTCCAGTACTACTTGGTAGCGACTAAAGCTATCTCCAGGTATCAACGAAAAGCAGTCGATTTTGTCATCTGCCGTGAAACAGCTCAGACTGGAAAACAGATAAAGCTATGGCTCCCTGAAAGTTCGGGTCCTACAAAGCTAGTGTAAACAAGCCTCTGCAGTATTACAAAAAGCAACTAACTTGTGGAAACTAGATACCAGCATATTATCACTGGGAAAAGGAGTCCAGAAGCCCTAGATATGCTCGGCGGCATTCTTGCAGACGGCATGGGTGTGGGTAAGACTTTGATAATGATTGCTAGTATTATTGCCGGTTTGTCTCGCTTGACAGATATATCGAGGGAGGAGTTATTATCAAATCGCAAAGTTGGAAACGTGCCGTTGGCCACTGTGTCCTCAACTCTGGTAATTGTGCCTACCCTCAGTGAGTATGCCTTTCTGAACCACAGTGTATACCACCGGGCTAAGAATTTTAAAGAATTGGTCAATGGTTGGATCGACGAAATTCATAAGTAGGAAGCTATTTTCAATGCTCTAAATTAACCGGACTGACGCATGTAAAGACACGTTAGCCCTGGGACCCTGTCATACTATGTATACCATGGCCATGCTCGAACCCTTCCGCCAACTCCGCCTCTTCCATACCATATAGTCTTCTCAACGTATCCTACAGTTGCATCAGATTTCAAACGAGGGGGAGGTGTTCTCAATCATTTTCACTGGAATCGATTAATACTTGACGAAGGTACCCTCCATCATCTCCATCCGCCTGGCTCACCCCCCCACCACCTCCCCTGATCAGCCGATGCTAAGGCGGTAATAGCTCATCAAATACGAACCATGAATGCAAAAAAATTCAAGGCTATAACCAGCCTTTCAGCCTCGATTCGATGGTGTATGACAGGGACACCTATTAATAACTCACTAGATGACTTATGCGCATTGATACGATTCCTTCGTGTCCCGCTGCTGGAGGATGCTAAGGTGTTTCGAAAACATATTTCTCAGACACGCAAGAAAGGCGGCTTATACAAACCAAACTACCGCAATCTCAAGCTCCTCCTCGGGGCAATATGTTTGAGACGTAACACTTCGAGTGTGCTTACTTCTCTCTGCAGTACCTCTGTAGAGCATCGTCCATGTCTCTCGGGGGCAGAACGTAATGCTTATGATAAACTTGCCATCGCTTGTAGCGAATCTATTAAAGCAGCTGCAAGTGGCCCCGCAACAAAAGGAGGGAATAAGTTGATATTAATCTCTATCATGAGACTACAAATGTTCTGCAATACAGGGCTCGCTATTCCTGTGAATTATAGAACCGAGGACCTCGAGGAAGATCTTTCTTTCGGTACATCTGTCGATTCTCTACAGCAATATAGAGATACCACTTCTTCGGAATATAATTCTTCTGCATCATATTCGGATAGCGATGATGACCACCCCTCGAGGAAATATCGTGCCTCCTGCGGTCAATCATGGAAATGGCAGGGTTGTGCTCATGGGATCTCTGATATGGACTGTGTTGGAGATCAACCACAGGAACTTTCCAACCTCACCAATTCAGCTGAAGAGGATATGATGCAGGATGTACAAACTGCGAGCGAATACAGCTCTGAGATCGCTCTCAATATCACTCGTTCAAATGCATACCCCTCTAAACTCGTCCATTTGCTGGAGGATATAGAGAGGCATTATTCGGAAGACAAAAGGTAATAATATCCGATATAAAAACCGTACCTGCTAACAACATCGAATTTAGTATTGTATTCTCTGTCTGGAGACGAACACTGGATGTTGTGGGCAACATGTTCGACGAGAACAGTGTTCGTTTTATTCGGGTAGATGGCGGCATGGATCTGTCGCACCGAGAGAGTGCATTGATGGAGTTCCAAAAAAATGCTTCTGTCCGGGTGCTTCTAATGACCATAGGAACTGGGGCTATTGGGTAAGGGCGCAAATTTTATTTCTGCCGCCTTGCTTCGTACGAACTTTGAAAGTCTCACAATCTTACAGACTTAACAATCTATGTGTTGCAAGTCGGGTCCATATCCTCGAGCCGCAATGGAATCCATCCGTGGAGGACCAAGCGATCGGTCGTGCACTGCGTCTGGGACAAGAGAAAAAAGTCCGTGTGATTCGGTATATAACTCAGAAGACAGTTGATGAGGTAAGCTGCATTCTAAGTTTACCAGCACAAGAAACTCATAAATTTGGTGTGGGAAACAGTTCATAGAATCTCGCCAGATATCGAAACTGAAACTCTCTTTGAATGGCGGCCTGCATTCCTCCGACCAGAAGATTTCCGAAAATGAAAGGAGGACCGCTTACCTCCGCCATATTGGCAATCTAATCGAGTCTACTGTCCTGGTCAGGAGTATTAGTTAGGATGTCTTTATATGTTTTGCACTAGTTATATGGGAGCGTATTTAGGGTCACCCTTGATAGATGTTTTTACTTTCTCGTCTTGATACTTTGTTACAATCAGGTCTGAAATCCACCACAATGCAGATGCATATCAAGTATCACCGCCATCTTGGTCTCTCAGCAACGATGTCTCTCCACGATGGAAGCCTATACTAGACATACTAAGCCCGCATAGTTTCAGGAAGTCCTCAAACGGCGGCAGAGACTTTCCATCACTAAGAAAAAGGTCCGCCTTCTCCCCGAACTGGGTTTTCTCGCACGCAATCCCGCCATCATGAGCCGCTTGCAGTTTTTCCGCCATCATCGGTTGTATGCATTTCCGGCCCTTCTTGGTATTGAAATGAGAGCGTAGTTTATCCTCTCGCTTGAAAGATATCCCACAGCCCCATGTCATTCCGTCCTTCAACCGGCCAGAACACTTGTATTGTTTATCCTCACTGTGGATGCTCTGATGGCGATCATGTTCCCATTTGCGCTTGAACTGAATATCGCATATAGGACATTTAAACGGCTTTACGCCACCGTGAGAACCTCTAATGTGCGTATCCAAGTTGAATCTTGTGGTGTATTTCTTGTCACATAAAGAACACCCAAATTCTGCTTCATTCTTAACTAGCTTGGCAGACACCTCTTCGGGAACGTCAGGAAATTCTTCGCCGTCCGCATCTTCAAAATGGTCAATGGCATGACTTGCAAGAAGATGATCCTTCAATTCATCGTATGTCGTGCAACCGAAAACTTCTGTCGGGCAGCCCTTGATGAAGCAGAGAAAGGGCCGATTGTGCTTAGCAGTGTGGGCATCACGCTGGTCGGCAGACTTGAACCCCTTGTAATAGTAGTAGCAATTCACTCTGGAACATTTGAACCAATTCATGCCATAAAAGCGTTGCAGCCGTCTTGCATCAGCCTCGCAGAGGGAAGCAGTGTGCATGTTCTCCAGGACAGATCTTATTTTAAGGGTTACCTGGGATAAGTCGAGAGCCTCATCTGGGCTCGGTCCCAATCCATTTATCCCGGATTGTCTCTTAGCCCAGCCAACCGCTTGTGCAATCTCATTGTAATCTTTCGAGTTACTGAACGGCGATAGGGTCTTATGGACTCTCTGGAGGTTTTGAAGGGGCTTAGATGTCGATACCCAACGCAATTTAATGAATTTCTCGAGAGTCACTCGCAGGTCGGATATTTTATCTTTGAATTTTAGTTCCGGAATTCCTTCTTGCAGATGTATAGCCCAGCAAGCAGATGCATAGTCATAGAAGGGATGAGTCCCACTGAGGATATCCGACTTGACATGAACCTCGTCCCGCTCTGAGTCCACCTGCGGGAAGGATAGGTAGGAGAGACTAAGCATAGCAAGTGAGTAATGTGCTTCTTGAGTATTCACGAAATTCTTGTTGATTAGGTATCTAATCCCTGCGGTTAGCACAATATGGCATTGTAGCTATGGAACATACTCTCGTGCGGTCCCGTGAACAAGAGCGACAGTATCGTCGTCCTGTACCTCGACTAGAGAAGCGAATAGCCCTTTTGGAGTATCTAACAATTCTTTGTCATAGTTAATGTGCTGATTATCCAGGTCGATACAAACTGCTCCTTGTATTTCACGCCACTGTAGTGGCCGGCGGGCACAGACGATCCAACCTAGAATGTGCCGAATATGATTCACAATATGGTCACCCCTGGATTCGAGGATGCGATCACGAATGCGTTCATAGCTTTGGTATATTGGTTAGCTACGGGGTTTGAAGAAATAGGAAGGCACTGACACATGATCCAATTTTAATGGCAAATTAGCAGGGTGTAGTTCCCTCCGGAGGACTTCTCGACTGGGTAGATCTTCAAGATACTTTGCAAATAGTTCGGCGAAAATGAACATTCCTGAGACAGTCAAAACAGAGTCGAGGGACACTATAGCTCTGATTATCGGGTTTAAACTCACCCTGGGCCCGCACAAATATGATATGTTGAATGTTGTTGTTCTCTGTCAGTTGACCAAACTTGGTTTCTATCTTCCGGTGCCACAGACTAGCAAAGTCCCTGATGTCGTCGTTGTTCTCGTTAGTGATCCTAATTCCAGGAATATTGCGAAAGTCTTTAACAGCTATTCCGTCATCCTGACTGACAAATAGACACCTTATGGAGCCCAGTTCTGTGGAGGGTAGTTCTGCAACCTCCTGGAACCAGCTAGAAATCTCCTTTCTAGAAACAAGGTTGCATTCATCAACCCCATCAATGACAACATAAGTCTTCTCACCACTTTTCAGTGATGTCAACAACATTTCTTTGGCGAGAGTTGCCGAGCTGAGCACTGCGCCACTATTCACAGAAGCTTTTTCATGAAAGTATGGTAGGAGATGAGGATGTTGATTCAAAATTTGGGCCAATATAGATCTCGAAACACTCGTAAAGCTGTTCCGTGATTCTTCGCCATGCTTGCAGTAAAAGAATGCAACAGTAGCACCTTCAATACGTCGAAGGGTATCAACTATTATTGAAGCCAATATAGTTTTTCCTTAAGTACAGGTCAGTATATATGGCATTCACACGTCTGATATTACGAAGCAGCCATACCTGCGCCGGGTATTCCGCTGAGCCAGAGAAGCGGGACTGTACAGCAATCAGGATTAAACCAGCTCTTTATAAGATGGTGGTCAAGAAGCCACCGGCCAGGATCTTTGCAAACCGATCTTGTCCTGCAATACTTATCTTGTTCAGCTTCGGTGTCAAATGGAGACAACCACTGCATGACCATTGCTTGACGACCGACGGCCTGATCCGTTTCAGATATCCTAGAATGCCTCGCTGAGTTGAGCGCCAAGACAGTTTCGAAATCTATAAAAGAGACTCCGCTCTCAACAGATCGCCTGTAGCGGGCGATGTTTTCTTTGATATCAACGATCTTGAGGGAGAAATCACTCCACGAGGCTTTGAACAGCTGTATCCATTCTATAATTACTTTAACTTCCCATGATCCAACCTTATTTGCAATGCACCCACCTCGTTGTTTGAGTTGTCGAATTGTTTCCGCATGGAACCACAGAATATCTTTGTAAATCATAACAAAGGCCTCTTTCAAATAGGGCTTTGACGCAAACAGGGGCTCGTAGCCCTGAACACGAGGTAGTACTTCTCCAATGTCTTGGTAAGCACCCAAAACGCAGTGGAATGCTTCAGGAAACCTGAACGCGGTCTATATCGCGTGGTGACATCAGCGGGTAGAGCCATAGACGCTGAAAAGGACCAACGCACACAAAGAACATATTTCATCGGACCCTTATAGCTTATAAGTACACATTGAGGCCACAGCAATTAGGGGACCTACCCATACGTAAGCCATGGCATGTTGATTACCAGAAAATATTTCGATTATGTTAGCGATATCTCCGAATTGCTGCATCGATAACAAGAACGGTTCGAGTCTCCGCATGTACAACAGTCTTTGTTTTTGTTCCTGCTCTAGCAGCATTTCGCTAATGGCACCATCAACCGTGGCATAGGTCGCACTTTGGAATTCCTTTTCCTCCATCTCGGTGAGACGCCCTGCCCGTTTCAGGTGATCTAGTTCAGCTATAATTTGACATATTAGTACACCACCTGCGTGGGTTTGAGAGAAATTCACGTATACCTCTCAAATTGCATCTCACCGGGTGCACGCCTCCTGGTATTGCTTCAAACGGCTTTGGTTGGGAATCAACTTGAGCACTGACTTGATTATAATTACCAGGAGTAGACCTCTGTGGATGTTTGCTCGTCAATTCGGACTCAGCACCCTCACCTGCTTTGCGAGGAGGGAACAGGATATTCGAGAGTTTATTGATAACTACATCACAGTGGTGAGATTGCCTGCTGAATTTCACCATATCGGAATGAGTAGCACTTATTGGAAAAGTTACGCGTCTATTTGTCTCAATGAATCTGCATGTTGCAGACGCTGGACTCACTAGAATTGCCGGCGGTCCCTGGCGACTTACGCGGCTGTCCACAGTCATCTGTCATTCGTTAGGATATCTTGACTGCACCAAGCTGTCAAGAACAGAGGCCGCTGACTTACGACAACCGTGGGGGATTCAAGCGTCTCATAGGCCCAGAACAATGTTAGATCTTTGATGCACGAGCTTGCAGAGAAGTCCTCATTGAGGCGACGGAGATAGTTGGAATTCCGGGCAATATCATCGACCAATGCCTCATTAGGATTATTCTGTACAATCGCTCTGAAGTGGCCTTGTTCCATGCCCAGATTTGGAACACCGAAAAAAATAGCACCGCGCACGACACTCAAAAGGGTCCTATAATCCTTGTCAGATGAAGAAGCTAGCTTCCGTAAGACCTCCTTGACAACGAGTCCGCCAAGACTGTGAGCGAGAAATGCAACAGGCTTCGCAGATGGGGAACCCCAGCCGTAAGCCAAGAGGTGGTTTATAAGATCGGCGGCGAGGTCGTGGATGTTCTGGAAGGACCGACTGTTGTCGAGTTTTGTGTCGTAACCGTATATTACTGTCCTGACGCCTCCCAAAACATCCGGTAACACGTCACGAATCCACATAAAGGTCTTGTCACTATTTTTCGGTTGCCATGATCCAAAAGGGTGGCTAGCAAGACCGGAGACAGCGATGCAACTGCAGACAATCAACCATAATCCGTTGTATATAAGGTGGGATAAACCAGAAGCTGTACTCATATGTATGGCTGAAAAACTTTGCATCATTTAAAGGAGTCATGCCCATGAAATGAGTATCCAATGTGAGGTCCGAGAGACCAGGGGGTTGGGTATGAATTTCAGAAGGAATATGCCACTCATTGTTGTATGCGTCGCGGCAGAGAATAGAAGGTGCGGTTTTGAACATGATAGTTGCTACCTTGGACTGCTGCAGGTTCAGAGTCGTGGCTAGAGAGAAGACGTGGACATGGTCAACGGGTACATCGCCGAGCCTCTGGCTAACTAGGTTGCCCACGTCCGACAGTTCTTTGACTGTGTTCGGTAACCCACGCAGTCGAAAAACTGTCTTGGACCACTGGTGTTTTTTTGATTCCATGGCTCCTCTCGTAGTGTTTGGGTAACGTCGGGTGATGAAAAGATGATATTGATGACAGCTTATAGCAAGGCTGCATACTAGTATCTATAGGCGCTTCCTTACCCCGCAAAAGGCCCCTGTCGAGTCTCTGTATTGATATCAATTGATAATCTGCATGAGAAGATTTACTGCCACTAAAAAAATAGTGCAATAGAAGTTTAGAAAACACTGTTATTCGCTCTTATCTGAACAGGTCGCTATGGGATGATCTATTAGGTAGAGGTCTCCTGTTCCCACAGTCACGTGTATAAAGTCGCCTACCCAATTTCAATTCATTTGAAGGGCGGTGCAAGAAGTGAGCCTGGGAAGGGCCGCTAGTACTAATATGGAAGGAGGATGCAAGAAGTGAGCCTGGGGAGGTCCACTAGTATGAATATAGAAGGAGGGTCCAATCATTGCATAACAACAGCCAACTATATTACGCTATTTTCTCCACATGTCTTGTGGTGGGCCTTTTTATGAGGGAGGACCCACTTACATACCCCACTTTGTAGTAGCTAGCCTCTAAAAAGATTTAGTCGTGGATTAAATTGTAAGAAGACTAGGCAATTTGCGAGCGAGCTAGTCCCCTTACAGTGGGATGTCAAAAGTTTGAAACTGTCCGCTTGACCGCCCTGCATACCGCCATCTTTCAACCCTACCAAATTCGGTGCTCGAACCTACACACGTCTATCTACACGTGGAATGATAAGGAGATAGGTGCCATTTGTTGACTTAGGTTACCTGCATACAAGGTATTAAGGCCCATGTGTAGAGTTTGCGAGATTTCTACCATACAAATTAATATAATTAACAAGGCGGTTAGACAAGGCAATAAATGGATGGTTTCAAGCTTTTGACATCCCACTGTATGCTTCCATACAGATAGATAGTCACATGGTAATTGTTGCTGAGAAAAGCTGGCCTTGCCTGCCCACATTCCGATTGCTGTTGCTCTCTCATACTTCTTGATGATAAGAGGGGTGGGGGGAGGGCTTACGATCTGTACCTCGAGACATGGCTGGTAACCATGAGCTTCGTAGCCATCTATGTAAGTGATGTCCTTGTTGTATCGTTCTCTTAGTTCCTCGATAAGGCTTGTCTGCCTAACCTTCTTTGGGGTAATTATTTGCTGACGGGATATGGTGTGCCTACAATTGTCGACATGAGTATTCCTGATACAAGTTCTTAGTACAAGCTCTTTTATGGGGCACCGCTAATTAATTTAAGGGTGTTAACATTATTATACTAGACAAACTGGTAGATATCTCCTATTCTTCTTAAGGCCGGCTTTTATGCTTACTTAGAAAGCTCAGAATACCGATATACGAATTCACTTTAAAGTTCCCCTCCCTTATGCAGTGAGACTGTGGTCTTATTACACTAGAAACCTAATATTCTTGTGAGAATTCCCAACTTTGGTGTTACCCCGCAGCAAAACATTTCAGATATAATATTTGCGTCCGAAATTCGGCTTCCTACTACACTTTTAGGCTGTAGCCGTGGGCATTTTTTTCTATACTACTATTTTGTCCCAGTCTCTATTATCCTAAGATATTGTAAAATTTTAATCTTCCGCTTTGTTGCGATTACAATACAGCCTATAAAATATACTGGATAGAGATTCTGACTTACATTATTGAGTTTATTGATGGAACTGATCTTCTTAACAAGGATAATATAGGAGAAGAACATAGACAATTCTATCTAGCTTTAAAATATGGGGATTCAAGGATATATATATTTCTGGATAAACTCTGACTCACCTTGAAGAGAATAGCTCGCCCCGAAACGTAACACAACAGCCCCAAGTACAAATATCTATGGACTAAAATGAAACTGAAGTGTAAAATAACTGTGATATCAACCAGACGAAGAGACTTCTTGCTGTAATCCTTTCCATGTAAAACCTCTAGATCCTTTCTTCTCTGTGGCCAATTTAGTTAATCACCGGAAGCATCCGTAAACAGCTGTAGGTTTTGCCTTCGATGTCCGAAAAGTTGCGAACGAGAGGTAGATAAGGTTATAAACGTGGATATCGTCCAACTGTGATATTGGGCAGAGATACTTCACTATGCAAAAACCGTCAAGAAGAGCTTACGGAGTATTATCTTTGCCTCAATTCAGGACTCTTGGCGATTTATACCCCCGAAACGGAAGGCTTGGTCATATACCGGTTCTTCCGTCTCTTGTGTCTCTGGAAAGATTTTCCAAGCTTATAAATGTTAAAATCGGAAATACCGGCAGGACATTTACGTTTTGAAGAACCTGTAGCTATAAATGCCCGTGTCCGCTCAGCTGTAGTTGAGCCACCTGTGTGAGCTCAGCTAAAGAATAGAAGTGCCCTCTCAGGCTTACTGCTTTACAGGACATATAAGTAAACGAAATAATCTCATATAACTTATAGATAAACTGGGTAAGTGTTACAGACCCTTGTATAATTCATTACTAATATCCAGTAAAGGACTCATGAAGAGATAAAGAGCTGAAGAAATATTGAAATCTATAGCCGGACCAGTCTTGGCAGCTACTGGGGATAAGGATCACAGAGATAAATCCAATCAACAGTCCAGACCTTCCAGCTCACTTCCAGAACCTCTGTTGTTTAATTTCCTGTATAGCTTTTATCATGCACGTGAATACAGAAGCGGGGTACCAAAACTACGTCCAGCACAAGTCTCTCCCTGACTACCTATACTCCAAAAGCTACTTTCTTCGGGATCTTATTACAAAATTTCTATAGATGGCTTTGTATAAAGACCATCTTTTGCAAAACCCTGAGTCAATCAGGGTATTGATGCTACAGCCCGCAGATGGCGATGCTATGATCGAAGTAAGAGTGACAACGGTGCGGCTTTCAGCTAAGCCGAAGTTCATCGCTCTTTCCTATGCATGGGCCAACCCAATTGACGAAGGATGCTCTTCATTTAATGAATACGACGTTGTCCAGTATCACATCTTATGTGGTGGAGGGCGTCTATCTGTCAACCAGAATCTCTAATAAGCCTTATGGCAATTGCGAGAGAAGCAAGAGTACTCATCGCTCTGGATAGATGCCACCTGCATTGACCAAGGGAATGACGAAGAACTAAACTGTCAGCTTCGTCTCATGCCATACATATATTGCCAGGCATCATGCGTGATGATTTGGCTAGGCAAGGCCGATGCAATGACCACGAAGTCAGCCGGGCACTAGGCAGCCTACAACGTGAAAGCACCTTTATGGACCAGTCTATGGCCCCTTCAAACAGTACTACAGATATTGCCAATACTATTCTTTACCAACAAAAACAAGCCCTTGCTATTCTTTTCCGACGGAAATGGTTCAATAGGGTGTGGACTTTGCAAGAGGTCCTATTAGCAACGAACACAAAATGCCTCTGCGGACCTCATGAACTCGATATCGGAACTGCCTGTATGGTTGCGGCTCTATTAGTCAGAAGTGTATCGAGTAACCGTGCGACTTCTGATATGTCAGGAGGCTTTGGTGAGCTTTCAATCGGTCAATTAGGCGGTGCGGCATGTATTTCAGCTTGGCTAGGTTTGACCTGGTCAGGATCTGGCTTCGGCTCGAGAGCACTACTCAGATATCCGAAGATCGATTTAAAAGAGGAAATCCCACGGAAATTGAAGTGGTTGGTTGCGCTGGAGCTGTTAGTCCATGAGTCACGTCAACGGAGCTGCAGCAAACTGGAGGACAAAGTACTTGCGCCCCTGGCTTTTGCTCTACGTGAAAATTTTGCTCCAAACAACCCAGATTTTCTGTCTTTGGCGACCGAGGCCCGTAGGATAATTGGCTATAGATTTCCCATAACAGAACTGTATTCTAAGTTCACACGGTTCATGCTTCACTCCATGGGTAACCTCGACATTCTCTCACGGACTCATAGAGATGTCATACCAACCGACACAACTGAAGAGCTCAAATTGCCCTCTTGGGTGCCCCAATTTCACCAAGCAGGGATGACATCTCTGATAGATGATTTGTTCTTCACTCAATATAATGCCGCAGAACATCTAGGCCCATACAGCGAATTTGAGCGTAAGCGGTTCTTAATCAGCTGCTGATATTTATTAACTAACCAGAAACTCCACAGATGGCTCAAGTAAGATGTTAGAGTTACCAGTGTGAGCAATCTTCTTCGGGCATATCGTTCAGATATCAAGTCATGCCGCGCCGTGTGACACCATACCTTCGTGGCTTTCTTATGTGCGCAATTTGTACCACTATAAACAACGAGTGGAATTGAACTATAGCAATGATCTTTCCTACGTTCTTGCCCAGAATTTTGAAGATCGGCTGGTGCACGGCGTTAAATGGGAAGCGAAAGAACAGAAATGGAGGCAGGAAATTCTTGGGGCACCATCTCAGCACATTTGCCCTGATCCAAATCAACACTCAGGTAGGTAGGTACCTGAAGTGTACACTACCGAGCCTCACTCGATTCCTCTGGAGATGAATCTTACATAAAAACTGATATCGTGTGTCAATAGGTATTGCAAAGAACAATGCGGAGGCTGTTTCGCTTCGATATATGTGGGGGGCACTTTATTGGTCTTGCCCCCATGACTGCCCAGGAATCGGACTACCTTTGCATTCTGCAAGGGGCCAGAATACGATTTATTGTGCGACAAACTGTGGAACGAAGCAAGTACACGTTGGTTGGCGAAGCATTTGCGGAAAGGTTCATGCATGGAGAGGTGAAGCGGCTTGAATTCACCGATCGAGAGATTATCCTGGTGTAGTGCGAAATTTGTCATGCACGAGGTTTCTCCACTGATACCATTATAATGTTGCAGTCTCAATTTTTCCGAGGTATATAGGGTTTCATCAGCAGGACGTTTGTCTTATTCTCCCGGAACTAGTTTATATTAGCTCTTCTCGTTTCCCTATCCTGACAATCAGTATCAACACCACAGCTTTATCTCCAGGAGAAGCCAGTCGTTTCACTTGACTTTGCTTATCGCTTCTTCCAAGAGGCAACGACTGTTAAATTGTCAAGCAAGATTTTGAGCGTTTATGGCTGAGGCCAACCAGCCTCAGCCTCTCGTCAGCCACCTACCCGATTCGGACCCTGGGCCCTAATCATGCTATCGCTTTGCTATACTAGGTCATATTGCGTGATTAAAGGCCGCAGCCTGATATGAGCAAAACACTCTTCATATTCATTGGATACAGAAATTAGACCCATCCTTCTTTCTCGTTGCAGACCCCTAGGTTCTAGGCTAGATTACCAGGCAGAACGCGTCCCCGTAGATCTGACATAAACGTATACTCAACGAGGCTTTTAATAATCACTGAAATTTCTTTGCTAATTCTACTCAAATGAGGTACTTGTTCCTTACTTATTGCCAGTAGTTCAAGATACAGAAGATATACCTTACTAAAACCAACAGACCTTTTTGGGATTTTAGGATGACGATTTATAATACTCATCCGATCTTTGCCTTGATTCGTAAAGTCCTGATATTACTACATAATGACAGTCCTAGCATAATGCACATTTAATTGGATAAAAGCTGTCATGTATATATAACCAAATTTTGCTTGAACTGGATGCTATTAAGAATCTTTGGGCTTCGATAATGGCTCTGCAGCTTCATGCCGTCGAAACGATCCTAGCTGTAGATGGTTGGTATACTAAATACCTATGTGTAGGGATGGTATGAAAAAGGAAGGCAGGATTTCTAGCATGGTTTCAACTTTAGTGTATAACTTTGAGCCTTCACTGTTCCTGTATACGATTTCTCTACCTCGCTAGCACTTTGGTGGAGACAACTTATGCCTAACACGCACAGAATCAAGCTATTGAGTGCTACCTAGAATGACAAACGTGGGCTGTGTGCTTCGCCCAGAATATCGGATGGAAATAAGCAGCCGTTTATATAGGTTACCGGGGTATTGTAAGTCTAATAGTGTGCGTATTGAGCGAGCTCGCGCGACTGCTGGGATATGGGTGATTGCTCACCACATCTATTGTGCACTTACCAAAGCTCGCCCGGGTGGCCACACTGGCCTTTTGGCCTCGTTTAAGCTACACGCCGGGGGGTTAGTAGTTGGGTGGGTAGACCACCAGCGAATCCCTCCTGTTGTATGTTTTACTTTATTTTGTTTGAAATGGGTATAGATAGAAAATAGGGATACAATCTCTATAGCTCCTTGTGAGTTCGATTACAGTTTGCCTATAGTACGAATGTATTAAATTCGTCGAACCTAGTCGAATCCGACCGATAAGCGGTTGAATTACTTCGGCTATCAATCGTATGGCTTCGCTGGGCCTACCAATGGAAATGGACTACTAGGTCGAGTATCCGCGTCGAATAGAATCGCACTAGATAGAATGTCGGAACGAATGGTATAAGAAGGCGCTCACTATCACCTGGGCTTTTTAGCCCTTTGGAGACCTCACTCGGCCTAATATGAACCCTACGACTGCAGTCCAGCATTGCTTCTTGGGATCGCATATGATACTTTATTCTTACGATATCTATGGTCGCCTTCTCCAAATCAGACAGCAACCGGAACGCAGAGAGCATAAGCGGTAAAACAACAGAAGAAAGTACAACCTGACGTAGCATCCAGGAGGGGAAATCAACCAATACCGTGGACTAGGCTAGTTATTGCCTCCCAATCACCTAGGACAATACCGAGGACGATTACAGATTCCTCCGAACCGTAAGCAAAGCGGCGTCTGTTGTATTTAATGCTGTTGGTCTGTTCTATTGCCTAAGTGGATTCCGATCCACAATCTAACGGTCTAGAACAGGTGTAATAGTGTGATTGATCCTTCGCGTCATTAAGTAGACTAACCAGACAGATGATAGTGCTTGTTCATATAAGCCTTGTGATTTCCGTCAACGAAAAAGTTTTGTCAGTTATCCACAGCTTGCCAAGGGTCCTTCCAGGGTTTCAAGAACCACAGACTTTTGACAGGCCAGAGATGCGATGTAACTGGAGAGTCCCACTGAGGCTGTGCTGGATAAATACCTCAAAGGGCCAATTGAAGTCTCGAAAGACTACTTATAGTATATCAGACAACGCTACTACTGACCTTTGACTCAGTACCTATCTACGGATAGTCTTTTATCTGTTCGTCGTCGTCATCTTCGGTTGTGTCACCCCCGATTCAGTACTGAATCATCTAAAACGTCCATGTCCATGAACGGAAGAAAATTCGTGCAAAATTTTACCTATGGCCTTGAGCGTGACTTCGTTTCTCCCACTGGAGAACCTGCCGCCTGGGCTCAGGGTCATCCGAAACGATGGGGACAAGAGAGAGCAAATATTCGGCTGGGTGGAAACGCATCCACGCCCACTCTGAGTCCCGATGATAGGCTTGTGGCAGTGGGGGTCGATGGAGAAATACGTATCTTCGATGTTGCTACGCAGGCGCCTCTCGAAGTGTTGACCGATGAAGAGCGGGTTGAGATTGTCCAGTTTGCGCCAGGCGTAGTTGACAGCCGCGATGGCAAACACGCCCGCTATTTACTGGCATCACAAGGTGGCGATAATGAGAACCCGCGGGTGGTCCTATGGGAGCTGGACGAGCAGGGGAAACTCGTCGCCACGACAGAGCCCCGACCCAGCTTCGAGGGCGAGCTCGGGTCTTTCAGTCCGGACGGCAAAACGATGGTCTTTTTCAGCCAGAACGAGACAACCCAAGAGGAAAGCCGCGAAGCTGCGACTCTTCCCTGTGTCAATCTGTGGAATGCCGAAACTCGATCCTTTCGCCACCACCTGCTGGGCCACACGGACCGTATCATGTGGGCTGCCATGAGCCCCGATAACAGGCTGGTCGCATCCGCCGCATGGGATGGCGCCGCTCGGGTCTGGGACGCCTGATCGGGGTCCTGTCTTTACGTCTTGGGGCCATTGGGCGGCCAGCTCTGGAGCGGAGCCTTCTCTTCGGATCAAAAGTTCCTCGCCGTGAGCCAGGGAAATCCCAGGACCTATATTCACGTCTACGATATCGCTACGGGGCAGCCGGTGTCTCGCTTTGATCGATTGCACATGGCGACCCGTTCTCTGTCCTGGAGGCTCGATGGGACCATGCTCGCCTGCGGGGCTGATGACGGTACACTTTGTATCTGGGATCCATACACCGGAGAGGAACAGATGCGATGGTGTCTTGCATTCGATGACTTCCTCATGCGTCGCTTTGCTAACACTTGAGCCGTGCAGTTTGATGATTGTTGGCCGGAAGTTGGTGTTTCAGATCCGAGAGGGAACCGTGGAGGTATATGATTTTGAGAGCAATCTCAAGCAGCAGTTTACAAGGGGAGTGGAGGACAAGATAGACAGATGCCCTGTCTCGGAGATGGTCTGCTCCGGGGATTCCAAATTCATTGTGGTCCCGGATATGGATGGATCTTTGAGAATTTGGGACCTCTAGGCTCGTTTCTGTCAAGGCTCTTGTTGCATCATTAGTATAGGCCTTGTAATTGACGATTCCACGGTTGCACGCCTGATCAACATATGCTGCGATATCTGCACATGGACGACTTGTTTGACTAGAGATAAGATTTCCTCAGGCTGGTCTACTTACTACGAGTCATAATAGATGTTTAGTTTTACAATTAAGCTCTTCATTTCTTCCATTATCTTGAGAACTACGACATTATCCACATCATCAATCATGGCTCTACTTCCCAACACTGGCAATGTAGGCAGTCAAGTCTAGCACCCGCCGACTGTATCCCCATTCAAGGCGACAGGTCAAGTCAACCACGCAGAGATAATGACCTTCTTGGCGCCCCCTCGAAGATGAGCACTTGCCTTTTCCACGGTAGTGAACACGCCAGTTGACTCAATGATATAATCCGCTCCAGCATCCTTCCATGGAATTCTGGAAGGATCCTTTTCCGCATAGAACTTGGCCTTCTTGCCGTCCACAACAAGACAGTCACCGTCAATGTGGACATCAGAGGCAAAGGTGCCGTGGGTAGAATCGTACTTGAGCATGTATGCCTAAGCACCCGACTGGATATCAGTCACCATGTTCATTCGACACCAGACCATCCAAGGGGACATATACCGCGTATTGGACCTCGATAAAAGGATCATTCATCATCACTACGTCGGTGTTTGCATGAGAGAAGGAGTTGCGGAATACGATCCGACCAATACGGCCAAAGCCGTTGATACCAATTTTAGCCGCCATTTTGTTCTTTGATCGTCTTGAATTGCAACAGGAGGGCGTGGTCTTGATTTGGGTTGAATTGACAGACGGGTGATAGGAGACTAGTAAGCGATGGAAGGGAGAGGGCACTATTTTAACCTATTCTAGATACTCGGTCAGACGACCTCATAACATACCATCATCAGAAGATGACGTATTGTAGCAGAGCCTACTATGTAAAAGGATGCATCCGGTGTACTCCGTAGATACTGTAGAGCCTGTTTCCCTACATAGTAGTAGGTAATCACCACTAGCCAGATCTGGACACCGGCTCAGGGTTATATCTCTCTGCATATACTCTGTAACCCTCGCCGTCTCTAGTAAGCACGGTTCGCCTGGCGCCAGCCACAACATGTGTCGCAGCCCGTCGAATCAGGTGCAAGTAAACACTGCAATGCCAGGCACAGATGCCTACCAGGGATCGATTACATTTACAGTTACTATACACTCGGATGAATCGACCAGGAGGTTTCCTTGTGAGATGGGAAATAACTTTAAGGGAGGACATTCAGAGAACAGGGTGGCCAAGAATCGATGTGTCTTCCAAATTATCTTGTTACGGAACTATATGAGACCTCAAGGAACAAAATGTGGATTTACCTGAGATACTTCTCGAAGAAGCCTGCAACCTGGGTGTACCTGGTTCATAGGCGTCAGTAGTCACTTTTCGAGAAGAAAACTGAATTTTCACTTACCCTCGTCTGTATTCAGCATTTCCTTCTTCACTGTCCAGATTGGCCCGGGCTCCCATCCAACCATGCCACATGGTGCTGTATGTTTCGACGTGGCCCCCGATGCCATTCGTCCTGATGACATCCGCATAGCCTTGGATTTCCTCCACTGGCTCATCCTTGGATGCAAGGACGATATGAGGAATTGTAAGTTTCTCAGCGTCCGTTTTGTCAGTCCGACTACGAGTGTGTGAATCGAGTCAATATTCTTCCTTTGTGTACACCAGTTTGAGGTCATACATACCCAGGATGAACTTGCCCAGTAGCTACAAACGGCGTACCGGGCCCAGAAGCTAGAACAGCAACCTAAGAAATCCATGTTAGATAAGAAAGTTCATGTAGCCTATGAGAAGAATCAGTTCACCTTCCCACCCCAGCACAGTCCCAGTGCAGCCCATTTGGATACAGACGGAAACAGCGTGTTGTACTGCTTAGTTATCTCCAGCAAAGTGTCCACGTTCCTCGGGATCGAGGTTTCATTGGAGACGAAACTCGTAAGGGCTTTTTTCTTCTCTTCTGTGTCCGTTGGGAACCATTCGTGCTGGGCATAATTTCCTTCGAAGAAATCAGGCACCAGAACTAAGGAATTCAATCTTGTAGCTAGAAGGTCCGCCCCCTGTAGGGTCTGGATGGCCATGCCGAAAATGTCGTAAAGGACCACAAGGCCAGTGGAAGCAGTCGGCGGACCAGTAACATCTATGAAAGGTCAGAGCTTGTTCCACTTCTTGTGCATCGGTGTGTGACTTGCAGGTGTTCAGGCCAGCGACTTCCTTATAGGCGCCTTTGGTTGTGTATCCTTGGGGGATCACCGGTGGTAGCGTTCGACATGCGTCGCAAGACATGGTTGGATTCTTCGTAGGTGCGATAGTCTCTTCTGAGTTGTCTCGTGTGGGCTTAATGCCACCCTTGAGAGTGAAGTTATCTTATAATAAGCGAACGCGCTAGTATTCGGAGATTATCCCTTAAAGCCGGCGGGGATAAAACGTCAGATAAATAAAGTAGGCTAAGCTTTGGTTTGCATGGCCGGGACCGGCCCGGAAACGGGGCATTGGTCTGTCACCCATACAGAGCCTTTTGCCCCAAATGGACCTTGCCCATGAAGTTGACGAAAGAAGGTCAATATAATTTGGATACATAGCTACCTCTGAAACTGACACTAATACGAGGTAGTGGCGAGCCATGTCATTATCACGTTCTGCTTGTCGACCGCAAATCGACTCTACAGGATCAACGGCCAATGGCAACGAGTCAACGAATGAAACGGAAGATATTAACCCAGTTGAGCCCAAAGCTTGCGCTGAAGATCAGATTGGGGAGACAAATAAAGGCAACCCCGAACTGTATCCAGTCGGAAAAGAGCCTGACACCAAAGATGACGCTCCCTACTGTTCCCTTTCCGAGCGCAGAAAGATCTCCGTGATGCAGATAGCATCGTTCTCCGGCATAATATCTCCAATATCTGCTAGTATCTACTATCCAGCACTTCCCACCCTTGCGAAGGACATGAATGTTTCTATCTCCTTGATCAACTTGACCATCATGACATATCTGGTAAGTGGTCTCTCTTTTCCATCCTGTCCAAGATCTTCCTGTATTCCACACAAGTCTAACATGTTTCCAGATATTACAAGGAATTTCTCCCTCTTTCACCGGGTCCTTTTCGGACGTCTATGGACGACGGCTCGCTTACATGTTCTGTTACACCACATACATCGGGGCCAATATTGGCCTGGCATTACAGTCCGACTACGCAGCATTAATGGTCCTGCGTTGTGTCCAGGCGGCTGGTAGCAGCGGAACAATTGCGATCGGTAGTGCCGTAGTGGCAGATATATCGACGCGAGCCGAGCGAGGCAAATACATCGCATATGCGACCATGGGGACGACACTGGGACCAGCCCTGGGACCCGTTATTGGAGGTCTCCTGGATCATTTCCTTGGCTGGAGGTGGATTTTTTGGTTTCTTGTCATCTTAGGTGGTTTTAACTTTGCCCTCATTCTCGTGACATATCCGGAAACGTGCCGTGCTGTGGTGGGAAACGGTTCAGTCCCCCCTGCCAAATGGAATCGGCCTTTGTGGGCGATGCTGAGAGAAGCACTAGGACTCCAGAGTCACGAGGTAGGAAAGAAGATCGACTATGAAACTCTAGAAAAGAGCAGATCGCGCCCGAATCCACTCACATCTGTGCGTATCGCTCTGGAAAAAGAGGGCGGTCTGATTCTCATCTACGGGGCACTGCTATACGCTGGTTACATGATTATCCTGAGCACCCTGACCTCGCAACTGGAGAGTGAGTACGGTTTCAACTCTATCCAGGTGGGATTGTGCTACTTGCCACTAGGAATCGGAAGTCTGACATCCCGTTGGTCCGCAGGACCTCTGCTGGATTGGAATTTCAAACGAGAAGCCAAGCGCCAAAACCTACCCATTGTAAAGAACCGTCAACAAGACATCCGAGACTTCAACATTGAAAAAGCTCGACTAACTATTACAATGCCTTTCGTGTATGCCGCTTGCTTGTTACTACTTGCGTACGGGTGGGTTATGAGATGTAAGACTCACCTGGCGGTTCCGTTGGTGTTGTTGTTCTTTTCTGGCCATCTCACCACCGGGGCTTTTTCGACCCTTAGCACGCTGATCGTTGATATTCATCGCCAAAGTGCGGCAACCGCCGTGGCTGCTAATAACTTATTTCGCTGCTTGCTTGCGGCTGGTGCGACGGCTTTCGCGACACCCTTGATCGATCGTATTGGCATTGGCTGGACGACTACATTTATTGTAGGTGTTTGGATTGTCTTCAGTGCGTTTCTGTGGGCAGTTTATCTCTGGGGACATACATGGAGAGAAGAGTTGCGTGTTAAACGGAGTGAGGGAGATGGTATCCCAGCATAGCTACATTTAAGATGGAGCAAAAAACGTACATTGCTTTTTTTTTAAAAAAAAAAAAAAAAAAAAAAAATCAAAAGTTAATACATTAGGAAGGCTCGCATATATTAGTTTTAAAGCCGGCGCTAAGCTGGATCGATGCATCGGACGTAACGCGGTTTCCGACGAGGGTGAGATTTAATTTAATCCAATGTATTTATTAATCACCGGAGATAACGCGGTCTTCGTATATTCCTGGACTTGGAGCCCGAAATATCACGGTCTACAGTAGTCAAGGAAGTAGTAAATGTATTGTAGAGAAAATCGATCCTTCCAAAAGAATACTTTTGATATAAAATCCCTCCCCATGGCCAGTCCGGAATGAAAATCAGAATGTTTCAGTGCCGTCTTTGATCTTCAAAACCACACCTCCCTAGCTTATTATTTTACTTCCTAATCATGTCTTTAAACCGTGCAGCCTACCTCCTTGCAGCACGTAAGACTCCCCTCGAAGTCCAACAGGCACCTTATCCCTCACCAGACCCGGGAACTATTGTTGTGAGGAATCATGCCGTCGCTATCAATCCTGTCGACTGGAAGCTGCAGAATTTCGAAATCTTCCCACTGAAATATCCTTTTATCTTGGGTGAGGATGTCGCGGGCGAGGTCATCGCCATCGGCAGTGGGGTGACCAATTTTACTATAGGGCAGCGTGTTATCGGGTGTGTAATCCCAGATTTAATCCTTGGAATTTCCCCTCAACCAAATTAACAAGCATGGCACAGACACTGTAAGAATTTCACAGTTGGAGATAATCGATATTCCGGCTTCCAGAACTTTACCGTCCTATCCGCAACCCTAACAGCACCTCTACCCCCATCAATCTCTTACGAGGAAGCGGTTGTTCTTCCTGTTTCAGTCAGCACCGCCGCTGCCGGTCTTTTCCAGAAGGACTATCTCAACCTACCTCATCCATCTCTGTCCCCTCAGCCCTTGGGTCAGACGGTTCTGATCTGGGGTGGTAGCTCCAGCGTTGGCATCAGCGCCGTGCAGCTCGCCCACGCCGCAGGTGTCGAGGTCATCACGACAGCCAGTCCTCACAATCACGCTCTTCTCAAGAACCTTGGTGTATCACAGGTTTTTGACCACCGCAGCCCCACGGTGGTCGATGACATTGTCACTGCGCTTGAAAACAAGCAGGTTGTCGGCGCATACGACTGTATATCGGAGAATCAGACCCAGCGGGCCTGTGCGGAGATTCTCGAAAGGAGCAAGGCCGCCCACAAAATTCTAGTATACACGAATGATGTTTCAACCCCAGAGGGATTGCCGTCTTCGGTCACTTCCAAAGGTATTTTCTGCCTTACGGTCGAGAATAACGAGGTGGGTCCTGCCGTGTGGGCGGATTATCTACCCCAAGCGTTGGAATGTGGTCAGTTCAAGCCTTTGCCTGAGCCTTTAGTCATCGGTACTGGGTTGGAATGTATACAGACGGCTATGGAGAGAAATATGGCTGGGATGAGTGCGTTGAAGGCTGTTGTTAAGCTGGTTTAGTATCTTGATGGCCTGAGGGGCGATCTTTGTATTTGGTTCGAGTGGAGGATGTTGTTGGCTTTTTTTTGATGGATTTAGGTAGCAATTAGTGATATAGATTGCTACCGTATACAGACTGCGAATTAATTATTGTGTGTGTGGAATGCTTTCTTGGTGGACGGTACTGCACTATGCGCGTATGTAGTAATGGACCCGGTGAAAATCATTCATATTGACCGTATGCTCGATTTAGTCCGCCATACGGCAGTCTATACCTGCAAGCCAGTCGAAATGAAAATTTCCCATCACACGGATTTTGCTTGAGTATCTCTTTCTCTGTGTATAATAGATTATGCAATAAAGCGTATTCTTAAGCTAGTAGATTGTTCTTCTAGCCTTAGTTTGCAATGCCTGTCATATGGCAGATCCCGGCCAAAGCAACCCTGACTAATCGATAGTCAATGAAAGTCACCATATATCTGAGCCTGTGGCTGACCCCTAGTTCCTATATTAAGAAGACTGCTGTTCACCAACATCGCTGGCCTGTCCCGGATGTACTCCAACAAAGGTACCCGTACAACCCGCCTCCACGCACTCAGCAAGGCTCCCGAAATGCACCCCCCTTTTTACCATCCCTGGAGCGTAATGAGCGTATTTGGCCGAGTTTGTCATTATATTTCGAGACGCAACGGGGATAACAGGCTCCCCGAGCATGCACCAGCAGGTATCTGTAATAATTGTTGCCCCGAAATCCTCGATGATATCGATATAGCCAGCCTTTTCCGACTTTTCGTACGTATCTCGACTGGTGGTTATGGTGACTTTAACATCGTCGGCTTTCTTGCGACCTGAGCATAATCTAGAGAGAGCCTCGAACTCTTCAAGGGAGAAATGCGGATTTCCCAAGGATACAAGATCAACAGAAGAGTCCTGTGCAGAATTGAGCATATACCAAGTATCAACTAGTTCTTCATGCCAGAGCTCTATAACGGGTAGCTCTTGTTCTAGTTCTGCAAACTTAGAAGCTTCAGGCGTAAGACCTTTGATGTGAAACATTGCAGCAGAGGCAGTGGTACCAAAAGCGGCACTGAATGCTTTGAGATTCATGAGCCGTAGTTGCAGATTCTCTAGTCCACAAACCAATGGTATGTTATGCTGAGCCAGCTTTCCAATGACATAGCCCAATAGCGGATAGTAAGAGTCATTGATCGTTCCCAGGTCGCTCACCCGGATACACATTGTTGGCCGCCGACCCTCAGGCAAGTGGCATCCAGCTGAAGGGGCCCTTCCGGTTAAAGCAATGCAAACATCAATGAAATCGGGATATTTCTGGGTTTGAGCACCCAGGACGCTGTTAGCGAAAACGACAGCGTTCGACTCTGACCATCCAATGTTTTGCCCTGTCTTGGGAGCGGCGTCAAGTGTGTACGGAGCGCAGGTAAAACTGGGCTGTGCACCCATAGAGAGATAGATATTGGCTAATGTGCCCGCCTGTGTAGCCAACTCAGGGTCGACGTTTAGTTCTTTCCAGCGGCGTTGATCGATTGAAATAGAATTGAGGGTGGTTGGAACGGTAAATTTAGCACCCATGGATTGAAATTTTTGTGCAAACAGAAGACTTGCAGGGCCTGTATATATACAGGCGTCAATGTGAGCCTGTGAAACGTCCAATAGGGAGTGCGCCCCTTGAATGATTGCGAAGCTCTTGATAATTTCCAAGGCAACCTTGGCTGCTTGGCCCTTTTCACCAGCCAGGATGCTCCGATCTAGATCTGAAAGATCGATGTCGCCTTGAATGGATTCGGCAGGCAGTTTCGGAGTCGGTAACAGAGCGTCACTGACTAGCACAGTCTCTCCATCAATGGCAGCGAAGTGTCTATTGCATATCTTCGAGAAGTCCGAAGAGGACAAGACCACAACTGGTATGGGACAATCAAATAGCACTTTTCCTATTAGGACCCCAAGAGTCAGAATCTGATCGGGTTTCTCGAAAATCAGTGCAGCTGGAGCACATCCATTTAGCAGAAGCTCAAGCATGACTGTGCTACCTGAGCATGAACCTCTACCGCAGGGAATAGCAAGAATTCGGCCGGCGATAGACTGGCCGCAGAGCGGATGGTGATGGTCTACCACCTGTCCAGTTTCAGGGTTCACCCCTCCCCAAAAGCTGAGTCCAACCGGGCAGAATTGTAACTCTGCAGATGCAGCGCCCTTGATGAGACATTGACCACGAAATTCCATTGTGCCGCTCACAAGACGACGGTATGATATGCAATAGAGGTTAAGAATCTAGTACCCAAGACGAGTCATAGCATTCGACTCTTAGACCTTCAACAGCTGATGTATTTGAGGTGCAGGCAGCAGGTTACTTGTTCTCTTTGAGATAGAACAATGAGCAGCGTACAGAGTAGTTATAGTTGGTTAGCTTACTTAACCCCGCCCGACCTTGGCACTCCCTCGGTATCTGATAATTGTGGCTTGATGGGGCCTCTTTCTCCCCATGTTTGGGGGTATGCTATCAAGACATTCCGAGTATCATGACTCACTTTCGATGACTCCAAGATCCTTGGAAAGTTAATCTGATGTTTGATTGACCCTCATTCCGGTTCTTTGGGGTCCAAACAGGATCGAAGATATTACTCTTTTGGGATATCGGCGCTGTTTGATGTGTTTGTCTTGTCATATTGCAAATCCTGCAAACATTGCAAACGGCTGATCCTATTTTCTGATTGGTCGTACTAATAGTACAACTCAGTAGTACTTCCATAGTAGGACTAGGTAGTAACACCCTTTGCCCCACTCATTGTTGATTGTTGATGGATATACTATGGAGCTGAACAAGCATATAAGGCTTTTGCTGTAATACAGCTTCCCAAGATCTTCAAGAACGATTTAACCCAAGGGTAAAGTCCATTTCTATCTGGCCTTGGCATTTCCCCTTCGTACCCTGCAAGCTTTGCTCAATCATTACCATGGCTACTTCTATAGCATCCCACGAAAAGCTGGTCGAGTTTGACCTTGTTCAATCTCACTACAAGAAGGTGGGAGATCACGAAATCCGTGCAGATTTTATCATCCCCCACGCAGAGTGTACCGGGAAACGACCGCTCATTGTCCGGTTTCATGGGGGCGGTCTTGTAAGCCCAAAGCCCAACCAGGCTCTTTGACTGGCAAAACCAAATATTGGATATAGCTAACTGAACCAGATAACTGGAGACTCACTATCCATGGAATGGTTCCCGCAATGGCTTCTTGATCTGGCCAAGAAACATAAAGCTGTGATTGCAACCGCCAACTACCGTCTTCTTCCTGAAGCGACGAGTCTCGACATCTTCGAAGATGTCGAAGACTTCTGGACTTGGCTTCACTCCTCAGATGTTGAAGAGCTCCTGTCGTCATGTGTAAACCCAACAAAACTAGATCTCGGCCGCATCATTACGGCAGGCGAATCTGCGGGTGGTCTACTCAGTGTATGCCTAGCTCTGGCTCATCCGGACGAGATCCGAGCGGCAACAGCAAGTTACCCATGTCTCGATATGGCTTCGGCGCACTTCAGTACCCCAAACTCGGTGCCATTAACCGATCCACCCGTTCCTGAGTCGGTGATTGACGAAAATCTGGCCCAAGTCAAGCCTGGAGCTATTAGATCATCCGCTTTGTTGCCTGACCGGCTGGATTTGATGCTTGCAGCGATTCACTACGGGCGCCTTACCCAATTATACGAGAGAAAGGTTGAGAGCTCACATCAACGAGATCTGCGGTACCCCTTAGAGAAAATAGACCAGCCAGATGCTAAGATTCCTCGTGGTGGGATTGCTATGATCCAAGGGCTGCAAGATGACATCGTGCCCGCCGAAGGCAATCAGAAATTTGCTGAAAAGGCACGCGATATCATGAAAGGTAAACCTTATGCTGATAAAATTATACTGGCTTTACGAGAAGGTGCCCATGGATTTGATATCATGACTCGTTTAGAAGAGGAATGGATGCAAGAACACCTGAAAGCGGCGGTTGAGGCTTGGTTGGCATAGAGGAAGGGCCATTTCGTGTGTACATACTATACAATAAGTACATAAAGCAGCAAGGCTGGCTCACTGTACATGATGTACCTAAGGCCCAGTAATATCAAAAGCGGGCAAAAAGCTTGTCAGGTGATAGTCACGGTATTGTCTGATCTTGCGGCCAGACGGATATAGATAGGATTATTTCTTCCTTAGGAATTCCCTATCGGGATTTTCAATTCAGTCCGCTACTTCGTGGGCCAAGCACTTGTGCAAACCGTTGTTTCAATGGAGTAAATAATGAGCAGTTGCTCTCATGTATGGTATTTCAAGTCCCAGTGTTTTCTATCACTGATAAAAAAAAAACTAGGATTGTATAGTCAAAAGATCGTGAATACAACTCGTACACCCGAAGAAACACTTGAGAAAGAGACATATTCAGACTCCCACATCTAAGCTGAATATCCTCAAGGGGGTTGGTTGGAGGGCCTGAGAAGTTGCCGTCAGGAATGCTTGGGTAATGTTTTGTACGCCTGACTACATTAACACATAGGAGTATATGTGTATCCTACCACAGATGGTCATCCCTGATACTAATTTGTGCCAGAGTGTATCAGGTCTATTATGAAATCTATCAAATTCCAGATATCGCGACAAGGTCAGACGTTGAAGCCTTGCAAGCGAGACAGCGAGACTATCTGACAATTTGTACGTTATTATACAGGCAGCACTGGCCTATATCATTAGTCTTTCATGTCCAGCTTTGGTGGTCTCTAGGCTCTTCTGACAAAGAAGGTGGCAGGCTATGCTCTCCTGTCGGAAACGTAGACTTGCGTGCCACTAAGGGGTTATATTTGATCTGAACTTACCATATAACTCGCTCTAACCCAATCCACTACTGTTACGTGTTTAATACAAGCATATGCTTGGGACACTACTGGCCCCCCCTCCCGGTATATTTTTTAATAATTATTCAAACTATATAGACCTATACATACTTCAGGGTTCTCGGTGAACGAGTATATGAAAGAGTAATTAGGGTTCCGAAGGCATCCAAATACTATGCTGAACGGGGTAAGGCCGAAGGTCACAGGACTCCGCCCACCATTAAGGCCCGCTTAATCTTCTGTCTTGAGCGACGTGCATCGTACTATGTACATCCACGTTTCGATAGAAAGATTTCAAGAACTCGATTACGGCACTTCTCAAACTCCTACCAGCCCGTGTTCTGTATCGCCTCCATGGCTCCTACCACAGCCCCACATTCTCAGCGAAAGCGCCGACGTCCAGCTCTTTCCTGCGAGCAATGTCGTCGTCGAAAAGTCCGGTTAGTTAGAGTTGCTCCCTGACTCGTTTGACGTACTCTCATTCGGTTCCAGTTGCGATAGAAACCACCCGTGTGCTAATTGCTTACGATCTGACCCTCGATCCTGCCATTATGTTGACACTGATCGGAAAACGCTTGTCGCACACGATCAGGTCATCGATTTGGCCCCCACGTCATTTTCAAAAAGCAGTCCACCATTAGACTCGTCCATTCGCCCTGATGATGTACAATTTTCTGGGCTTCTCGATGTAGATGCACTCCAATCCTCTGGTTCATCATTGGCAAGTCCCACAGTTGTTCAACATTCTATGACTTCCCACGTGCCTGTAGATTTACAGGCAGGATCGCTTGTTCAGTCATTAACAGATCGAGTACGCCAACTTGAAAAGAAGCTTGACGAAACCCTCAGTTTGCAACCACCAGATGGCTGTCCAAGTCAGCCACCCATAAGAACGCGTGAGCACAGTTCAATTAATGGAAGGTTCCTGAAGACGAGGTTCTTCGGGAACAGCCATCGATCTATATGTGAACACAGGGTACGCCTCTCCACTTGTGAACTGGGATGACATGGACTAAAGCTTAAAAGGTTCAAGGCATGATTCATATGTTCTATCGAAAGGCGTCTGAGGTCCCCGAGATACAAGTTCTCTACGAAAGATGCAAGCAGCTCGCAAGAACAGCCAAGTCACAAGAGATAATTCAGCAGAATATCTGCCCTGACCTGAGGGATTACATGCCACCGAAACAAACATCTGACAGGCTTATCCAAGCGTACCTTCGTACTTTCGAGTCTGTTTACCGCATCGTACATGTGCCATCCTTTCTACGTGAATATGATCAATACTGGAAAGATCCTCAAACAGCTAGCCCGGCGTTTATTATCATGACTTTACTAATGCTAGCGATTGGGAACTCGTTTTGCCAGTCTGGAGACCCAGATAAAGACTATGTTCCGCGCTCTACATCATCACAGTGGGTATATACGGCACAAACGTGGCTCAGCTCGCCGTTTGAGAAATCCCGTCTCAATATCGCCAGCCTCCAAACACAATGCCTCCTCCTTTTGGCCCGCCAGACAAATGGCATTAGCAGTGACCTTGTGTGGATCTCAGCTGGCGCTCTGCTTCGAACAGCTATGCATATGGGCTTCCATATTGACCCTCGTCACATTAGGGGCATTTCTTTCTTCGATGCACAGCTTAGACGGAGGATATGGCATACAATCCTTGAGATCGTTGTCCAGTCTAGTATGGATGCTGGAGGCCTTCCTCTAATTCATTGTGATGACTACGACTGTGAGCCCCCTCTTAACATCGACGATGCTCAGATGGAAGATTCCAATCAGGCAAAGCCCCTCGAGGACTTTACCAGTACATCTCTGCAAATAGTTTTACAGCGATCACTGTCTCTTCGTCTACAAGTTGCACAGTTTTTGAACGATTTCCGCCGTGGCACATCGTACGACGAAGCTTTGCAGCTTAGCAAAAGCCTTACGAATATATACCGTGAAAGCTCGGCCCTATTTGACGCTTTTAAAAATAGTGGAAAAGCTCCCACCGTCTTCCAGTCAAACTTCTACGACTTGATGACGCAGCGCTTCCTGCTTGCTCTTCATGACCCCTTTGCTATAAAGGCAAAAACTGACCCGACGCTATATTACTCACATAAAGCGGCCCTCGGAGTATCCATACGTATCCTAGCACCATTTAGCACGTCGATACCGGAAGATCCTGACTATACCGCATTGCTGCTCACAGGCTCGCCATCATTTCGGGACGTTCCTACCCAAGCAGCTGCTGTCGTTGCAGATGACATTATTGGCCGAATTACGGAGGAGCAGATCAATACTTCAGTATCAGCTCCCCATACGTCATATCCTTTGTCGCACGGAGACTCCAAGCATGTTGTCGAAAGGTTTGTCTCATGTGCATTGGCACGGGTTGAGTCGGGCGAAACGAACATCAAAGGATATCTAGTGTCTGCATGCTTTCTGGCCCAGATTGAGGCTATGGAGCGTGGTCGACCAATCGATGAAGCGTTGAGTAGAACTATCTTGTCAGTTCTTCAAAGGTGTTCAAAAGTTTTGGAAGACAGGGTTGAAAGATCGAGCCTTTCACAGTCAGGAATAGAACTGAATACAGCGACTAATGAGGAATCAACCCTGACTGAATCTGATAACCAGTTCAACTGGTCTCACAGTGATGATTTTGTAAGTTGTCTGCTTGTTCCTCGTTGGGAGCAGTGTGTATTGGAGGTTTACTGATGAGATTCAGGATATGGAATTGGATATAGGCTCATGGCTTCCTTCCCTTGCATTCATCTAAGCTGGAATCGTAACAATGTTGTATATTTATGTTGAATACTGCTGATGTGAGATTTATCTATTGATCTGGATTGTTGATTATAATAGAGTAAGAAAGGAGACAGGTGTACCAAGAAGATTTGGGGACTGTTGTTAATAGCTGTCGTGCATATGACATGATAATCCTCTTAGTATTCTATATTCTTCTAGGTAATTCTTATTATGAGGAAGCGATGTTTATGACAGTGTAGCCATCTCAAATTCTAGGCAGATATCAGTCTTCTGTCTCTCGTTTTCTACGTGTATGTTTGGGAGATGAGCCACTAAGGCCATGCCTCTACTAGTATATACAAGCCATAGCATATGAAATAGCTGATCCTTTAAGTCATAGGTCTTGGAGATATATACATGGAATTCGAAAGATTCTCTATCTGCACAGCCAGAATCCCAGAGTCATCGAGTAACCAGGCAAAAGATGTTGCAGAACCTTAGCCGACCAACCACCCATAGTTTGTGAAGGAAAAGAGAAAGCAAGGTGATATAGACTGAAGTCTATATCGATACTCGCTCACCATTCGCAGATTGCCGTACACTTGATCTCCACCAATAACCGCGGATTTGGTAATTCTTTGACACCAATTGTCGTCCTTGCTGGCGCATCCTCGCGATTGGGCCACACTTTGTTCCATTCTTCATTCATACCTTGATAACAACCGGTCAAGTCAGTCAAGAACACCGTTGCATCGACAACATTCTTAATGCTCCCTTTGCCGTCGGTTGCGCCACGAATAATCGTGTCAATGTTGCGAAGAACTGCCGCAGTCTGTTGGCGAATATCCAGTGTCCATGTTCCATCCGCATGCTCAATTACGCCGTCCCAAGTCCCATCTCCGCGGCGCGATGATGTGCCAGAGACATGGATGGTACGAGAAGCGGGGTTTGTGGGGAGAACGCGTGCATGAGGGTAGTTGGCGAGGCCTTGGGCTTTTTCAGGTGGAAGGAAGAAGGCCGAACCGTTTGACATGTTGAAAATTATAGAATTAAATTTTCACTAGATGTAAGTTTGGGACTTTCAAAGCGCTAAATCAATAAAAAGGCGCGTAGTTTTTCTAAAACTTAGAGCTGTAAGTGTCCCTTTATAGCTTCATTTGATATCCGTCGGATAAGGACCCGGTTCCGGGTCGACGGGTGTGTTCCGTGATTTTGAAACCCATGGGACGGTTTAGTTGGGACAAGCCAGGCGGCTAATCGCATAAACTTCCGATTGAATAATTGGAAATTTTTTTTTGGTCGTAAGGGGATAACCTTGGCTTAGCTTCAAGCTAAAACTTCAGTCGTATAATATTAGGGCATTGAGCTCACATGGCCCGGAAGGGTGCGGGGTGTTTTGTCCCATGACGTACGGACTAGCCTAGTCTAGTAGTACTACTATACCTGCATTTCCACATCTCTCATCTCTGACCGTCTTCTTCATCCCTTTCTTAGCTGGCTTCCAAGAGCCAACAACCATCCGACAAGATGACGGCCCAAACCTTTCGTCAGATCTCAACTCACAATCTCAAAACATTCCGCCGCAATTATGTGTCGGAGATTTCGGGTTCGCTCGGCGATCTCGGAACCTTTCTCCCCATCGCCATAGCACTGGCCATCAACGGTACCGTCTCGCTGTCCAGCACCCTCATCTTCTCGGGGCTCTTCAATATCTTGACAGGCCTGTTCTTCGGTATTCCACTTCCTGTCCAGCCCATGAAAGCAATTGCTGCGGTAGCAATCGCCAGATCCTTCAACAATGGCACCATTGCCGCCGCCGGAATCTTCGTGGGCGCGTGCATTTTCGTATTCAGCGTCACTGGTCTTCTTCACTGGTTCGCAGACGTAATTCCTATCCCCGTCATTAAGGGTATCCAGGTTGGTGCAGGCTTATCGCTTGTCATCGCTTCTTGTGGAAATATCCTGTCTTCCCTTGGATGGGTCGGGCCGTCATGGGCGGATAACCGGATCTGGGCCATCGCGGCGTTCGTTTTCCTCGTCATCACCAATGTTTACCGCAAGGTGCCCTATGCGCTGGTAGTATTCATCCTTGGCATCATCTTTGCCATTATCCGCAGTGCGTTGGTAGCTGACCTGCCGTCCCTCGCATTCTGGCACCCTTACACCGTCGTCCCCACTCCTGGACAGTGGTCCGTGGGTGCTCTTGATGCGGGTATCGGGCAGATTCCACTCACGACGCTGAACTCCATCGTCGCCGTCGTACATCTTGCGGGCGACCTGATCCCGAATGTACGTACGCCTTCAGTCACGTCTATCGGACTCAGCGTTGCCGCAATGAACCTGGTAGGCTGTTGGTTCGGTGCCATGCCTGTCTGTCACGGTTCTGGCGGACTGGCAGCCCAATACCGATTCGGAGCACGGTCTGGCTCAAGCGTGATTTTCCTGGGCCTACTAAAGCTGGTGATTGGTATCTTTTTCGGTGAAAGTTTGGTGGGTCTGTTGAAACGGTTCCCTTCGGCGTTGTTGGGAGTAATGGTGATTGCTGCGGGACTGGAGCTGGTCAGCGTGGGAGAAAGTCTCAATACCACTGGTGCTCGGGATATCATGAAGGCCAGTTTTGGAATTCTGGGTGATGCCAGACAGGATATTGCGCCGATGCTCAGTGATGCGGACCGCAAGAGACGATGGACAGTCATGATGGTTACCGTGGGGCTGTTGGTTGGGTTTAAGAATGATGCGATTGGATTCCTGGCTGGCATTCTGTGCCACGTCGGCTATGAGCTGCCTGGTCTCTGGGAAAAAGTACGAAATCGGTGGAACGAGGGTCGGGTCAGATTGCAATAATCGCCCGCTTGACAATTTCGAACAATAACGCTGTTTATGACTGCATACGAAGCTTACTACTGAATGATTTTTTGCCTTCAACACGTTTCTACGCCGCTTCTAGCCAATGATATACATAGCCAGGATGTTTTGTTATTCGCTCGAGGATTACTTTTCTCTTCGGGATGGAGGCGAAAGCACAGGAGGATGAAGCTGGCGCCATGGCTTTGCTGGGAGATTCGCAGATCAGACGAGTTAATCGAAGCCTTGGGAATCAACCACGAGGATTTTCGGCGTGATAATCTTCTTTGGAACGAGGCATGTTGGGTATTGATTTCGGCCGCTCTACCTCGAAACTTTGGCTAACGAAATATCCCGAAAGAGAGGATAACTATCGTACAGTGTCAGGAAAGCGTTAACATGTTTTTAGCTTGGTCAGTTTTCTATGGTGCTTGATGATGACGGGTCACTGGCATTGTCTTCACCAATATTCCTTTTCTACAAAAGAACAACGGAGTAGAGAAGCAAGAATTCCGGGTCATACCGATCACCATACAATGCTGATTAAATGTCCTTAGAAGTTCTACTTGCCTTGCTAGTGAGTTCAGAGTACACATACGAAAGGATATTCTCCAATTTTACATACAATTGAATCCTATATACTCACTGACTAGAAGTATGGTAAGACGGTAATTGGACATGTTTAGCGATAATATTGAAGATTCATTCACCTAAACAAAAGATATGCACATCATTAAGTAGGCATCATATTAAAGCCCAACAAAGTCCACTCAGAACATTCATTAAACCTCCCATCAGATATATTTAGACCATCACACCAGCATAACCCAACCCCTAATCATAAGATTCACCACCCTCCTCATCTAAATCTGTAATGCGGCGCACGCCCCCAGCCGAAGAGTTACCCGCAGTCAATTGCCGACCGGTTTGGTCATAATGTTTCTCATCCACGATAGCCGGTTCGCCGAGATCTTGACGGTAAGTACGAACAGTCGTGGTTCCATCCGGTTCAGTGTGAGAATAGGTAGCATAGCGCTGACCGGTAGCGGTGGTGCCATCGTCAGTGCTGCTCGAAGAGCTGTAGAAGTAGGAAGAAGAGCTGGAGTAGGATTCGGACATTTTGAGTAGAGAGCTGGTTTTCAGGATATAGATGTTTTGTATGAAATTGTAGTAGAAGTGTTTTGTTATGATTATGTATGTAGTATTTTTTTTTTTTTCTTCTAGTCTTGTACACTTAGTTGAGATTCTGTTGGGGGCGATTGCGAGATGTCTATTATCTATATATCTACTCTGTAAGGCCGTGTGGCGATGGATGATATCATACCAACATCAGTTGCGCATGGGGATCTCCACCTATGAAACACTCTAGGGAATGGTGATATATTTTCCAGGTGGTTGAATGTACTGTAATTTCGTGCTTAGGAGACTGTGTACTACGACTTTCAAATAAAGAACTGCTTGTGGAGTGACGTTATGGCTCGTGTTTTTTTTTGTGGGCTGGACGCCTCGTTTGGCTGACGTGATTGTTCTAGAAGGTTGAATGGATTTCTTTGAATATACTGTCTAGGGATTTCCGTGGTTGGGGTACGTTGCTGTGGGACCTTTGTTCCTGTTACCTTGAGGGTGCTGTGGTCATTGCTGCTTTTTGGTGTGGTTGTTTATATATATTGAACAGTGTGTTGGTAGCGGTTGCGTTATGTGCAACGGGTGACCGGTTCCATGTCTATTGTGGAATTTGTTATATGTGTACCAGGATAGGAGCTAGTTTGAAAACTTGAAAAATTATATTGGGAGTCCTCAAATATGATCATTGGACTATGAGGTGGTCAGAGGAGGAAAAAGAGATGAGAGTAGATGGAGGTAAAAAAAAGGTCAGATATAGAAAATGCAAAAAAAGTTGGAGACGCGGGGAATCGAACCCCGGACCACTCCCATGCTAAGGGAGTATTATACCACTAAACCACATCCCCAATTGGATGAAAGATATCAAAGATTATTGCCTTATAACCTGTAAACAATAGTCCAATAGATTACACACTAGTGTATTGCTTATCCAATCGGGACCGATAGAACTTTTCCCGATGCGATTTTATCAGAAAATCTTCCAGACCATCTCAAAAACTCCCATTAACGCCCTGCAGCGCCAACGCAGCTGGTGGATGAGCTGCCCTTTGTCGTATTACATTTGTCAACTCTTACTGTCAATTATTCTTGCAACAATATCCGAGAATTAATCATAACATCCACCTATCGCAGCCATGGCTGCCCCCGTCCTCCCTCTCCAACAGGTCAAGCTGCCGGCGCTGCCCTCGACTCGCTTGACACCAGAGCAGCAATATTGGAAGACCTTTAAGAACCCCCTGCTGATTCCCTCGCCCGCCAATGGCCCCGTCAATCTAATCACACAGCCTTCCGCTCCGTCGTCCGCCTCCGCCTTCCCATCTCTCACCCAGCCTCCCGATGTCTTCACCGTGACCACCGGTGCCCGAGTCCAGATTTACTCTATTCGCACCCGGAAACTTCTTCGCACCGTCACTCGCTTCGATGACACTGTACGCGGCACAGATGTTCGTCCCGACGGTCGTGTGTTTGTTGCTGGTGACGACACCGGTGCGGTCCAGGTGTTCGATGTCACCTCGCGCGCGATCTTGAAGACATGGCGGGAGCACAAGCAGCCCGTCTGGGTGAGCAAGTTCTCCCCCAGCGACCCGACTTCTCTTTTCACGGCGAGCGACGACCGCACCGTGCGGCTTTGGGACCTCCCGAGCGAAAACAGCGTCAAGACGTTTGTTGGGCATACTGATTATGTGCGCAGCGGTGCATTCATGCCGGGGTCGCTGGCGTCTTCCGGATTGCTGGTGTCAGGTAGTTACGATCGCACTGTGCGCCTGTGGGATCCGCGTGTGGAGGGTCGATCTGCGATGACCTTCAAGATGGCTGCCCCCATTGAGAACGTCCTGCCCATGCCGGCGGGTACTACGGTGCTTGCGGCGGCTGATAACAAGATCGCTGTGCTGGATATTGTGGCTGGAAAGCCTCTGCATATGATTCAGAGCCATCAGAAGACTGTTACGGCGCTAGCGTTGGCTTCCAATGGTGAGAGATTGCTGAGTGGTGCTTTGGACGGTCACATGAAGGTGTTCGAGACGACCGGATGGAATATGGTCTCTGGATCTAAGTACCCATCGCCTATTCTTTCGCTCCGCGCCATTACCTCCGGGGCAGCGCAGGAGGATAAGCACATCGCAGTTGGTATGCAGTCAGGCCTGCTGTCGATCAAAACCCGACTCTCCGGTCAGCAGAAGATTAAGGAAAAAGAACGGAGGAAGGAAATGCAGGCTTTGCTGGAAGGCAAGCTGGAGGAACATGACCGCAAAGTGGCCAAGCAAAAGAAGCTACGGGGCTCCGGCTGGGAAAAGCGCTTCCGTGGTCGTGATTTCATCGGCGAGGGCGTGGACATTGTCATTGAAGGCCAGGATCGCAAACGGAAGAAGGAACAGCCTTGGGAGCACGACCTTCGCAAGGCCCGCTATTCCGCTGCCCTGGATCAAGTGCTGGCTTCGGGCGACAAGACCGCACAACTCACTCTTTTGACTGCACTTCGACACCGTTCTGCTCTCCGTGCATCCTTACAAAACCGCGACGAGGTTACCCTGCAGCCGGTGCTGCAATGGGTGTACAAGAGCATCAGCGAGCCTCGCTTGGTGAAGCTCAGCGTCGAGGTGGCCATGAACGTCCTCGATATCTACTCAGGTAACTTGGGCCAATCAGCAACAATTGACAAGCTGGTTGACCGGCTGCACCGGCGCGTGCGAGACGAAGTGGAAATGGCTCATCAAGCATGCCAGACAAAGGGCATGCTGGATATGTTGAAGGCGGCCTAATCGAGCCACCGCTGCACTGGAATTGAAACAAAATAAAAGCAGATGTTTGACTAGATTTGTTGCATTACTGGATACCTGGTTGGAGTTCGGGGTTTGGGATCGCCCAACTGTATCATGGCAATATAGATGTAACTAGCGCAATTGATGAATATTGACGTCCATCACACAAAACTCCATATAAACAAACAGAATCAACCACAATCATTGATACAACTTGGAAAAACCCTCCCCATTCTCCGGCGGTTGCAACCAATTCCGCTCATCATATTTCCACCCATCCGCAGCCTCAATAACATGGAAAGTATACGCAAACCGACTCCGATCACTCGTGTTCTTCTCACTCTTATGCAAAACATTCCCATGAATCAAAACCAACGACCCAGCCTTCACCTCCAAAATCTCCACATCCTCCTCTTTCGGACCCTGTCCCTCCACCTCCCCCTCCTCCATACCCCTCGGCAATCCAGGCCCATCATTCTCTATAAACTCCGTCCCGATCGCCTCACCCTCATCATTATACCTCCTCACAAACCTCCTCTTCACCATCCCCCCAGTCCTCCCCCGATGCGAACCAGGATACATCCCCAACGTCGCATTACCCGGCCCCGCATCCTGCAACGCAAACCACCACCCCACAGCCGACGGCGGATCCGTATACAGAAACTCCGAATCACGATGCGGGGGCACCGCACCCCCAATCCCCGGTTGCTTGCATATCACCATACTCTGAAGCACCCGGGGATCCTTGAACCCCAAGGACCTTGCGATCGCCGCATTACGCTCCGACAGCGACACGGCCCGGAACGGTTCCGAGAGACTGTGCAGTGAGTGCCCGATCTTGTTCACCGCTTGCTGCTTGGGCTTTAGGAGCGTGGGTTTTCCGGTGGATGGGTCGGGGGATTGGGAGAAGGCGTCGGGCTCGAAGAAGAAGCGGACTTTGTCGCCTGAGGTGAGGAAGTAGTCGTCGCCGACGTGGGGTTTGTTGTCTTTTAGGTCGTCGCCGGTTGTGAATTGGGTTAGGGGGTGTGTGTCCAGGGGGAAGGTGTCGAGGAGGTGGTTTGTTTCTGTGAGGAGGGAGGTGATTTCGGTGGGCGTTAAGTGGTTGGGGAGGACTAGGTAGCCTTTCTCTTGGAAGGAGGCGAGTTGGGCTGGCGTAAGGCCTTCCATTGTGGTCTTTTCTTCTTTCTTTCTTTCTTTCTTTCTTTTTTTTTTTTTTTTCGGGGTTGCGTTGGAGGTTGTTGGTGTTGGTGTTGTTGTAATTTGGGAATATGTGGGTTGGTTTTGGTGGTGTGATAAATAAATGCGGGGAACGTTTTTCTTTTGTTGGCGGGTCTTATCGGCTTATCGCGGCCTCGGAGCTTGCCGAGCTTCAGGTACCATACATGATAAGGGTTTCTTTAGCCCGAGACTTTATGATGCTGATTTGACTATAGGCCTGGAATCTACTTATTATTGTAGAGCACACTCATACTGGAAGTCATATTCGGCTGTAGAGTTATGACGCTGTCGTCCTAGGATCACACCACACTAATATGCAAGATTATTACCGTAGTGTAGGTTTGCTATGACGAAGGAAAGCCGCTCCGTGCAGAGTACTTTGGCCAATACTCAATTAAGATGCACCTTTGCCGAGGCTGGAATCCTCTTGCTGGGAGCTGTAACCCATAGCACATCTTGCACTTTACAGAGAAATGTGTGCAGTTCTTTAAGAGATCCTTGCTCAAGTCAGCAAGGAGAGGTGTTTCCAACTCAGGAAAACAACAAAGGGATTATCTACCGATGACAAGGCTGCTATTTCTCTGAATTATAGAATTTGGCATACTATCTGCTTCGAGCTTCGAGTATGGATTGAATGATGGGCCAATTTTACTTCCAACTGGCGATCAGCATCGACGACAAAATCAACACGCCTTTTGCTGGTTTCTTGTTGGAAAGTCCAGGCGTCGTGTACGCCGCCGTAGCAACCATGGGGCTATTTTCCCGGTACGCTTCTGCCTCATAGTCTGGGCAAACAATCTAACAATGGGTTTCTATACTAGTACTTTCCAAATCGATGGATAGCAGCGGATATACCCTTGAGTGGCTAGCAGCGCTATGCAAGACGACGGACCGACATACTAATGAAGCAGTCTGACTAGAATGTGCATTAGTAGGGATATAATTATAGCACAATGCCTCCATCTGTTTGCTTTCGGGTAAAAGGAATCTCTCAAACCTCTCTAGCACCCGATGCAATCAATGCCTGCATGGGCGCGAGAATGACCGGGTGAGTATCCATATCTCGCAGCCGGCTATTCTAGGTTACTCTGGCTTTCCTTTTCTGTCATAGTTGACAGTGTCACCCCTGTTTCATGCGTCAATAGTGCTTGCTTGCTGATTGCGAGGAGATGTTTGAACGTCAAACGGGTGTGGAGCATCATGCATGACCCTGCCAGGATAACGCATCTACAGTCGAACTGATTCTTCAAGCGCTAATTCGGCGACTACTTGGCACATATCCCTGCGTCAGGCTACAGATGCAAGACCACTTGTGCTGTCATCGGTGCTTCGTTACTGCAGCAGTGATGAAACATGCTGATGCGAGTTATTTCTGCGGTGATAAATTTAGTTAGGGTTATGCATGTCAATCTGGGATGGTGTTTCAGCGTGAGGTCCAATCATGAGCGCACGGCTACTCGCCAGAGGTGTATATTATGGCCATTTTACCCAGAAAGATGATACGGATGCCATATCCTACGGCCCTATAAATACTATGAAATTAATGTCCACTGAGCATTTGCAAAAGCTCCTTCACGGTCCTGCTGGCATACCACCACCGGGCGTGGAGCCCAACTTAGTGAATCCTCCAAATCAACGTATATCTGGACAGGCGGCTATACTAGTCTGCGGTATAGCGGCCTCCATTACCTTGTTCATGCGCATCTACACCAGGGTATTTGTTATCCGCAAGACCAGCATGTCCGATTGTAAGAATGCACAGAGGCACATCGTTTCCGCTGCTAACATGACACCACAGACTCCATTATTGTGGCCTGGGAAGAGATTCTCTTTCTTCTTCCAAATATACAGGCTAAATTGATTATTGTAGGGAATTGATGTGGGCTTATGCATCGTCTGTTGGTTTGGAAATGATGCTGGACCCGGGGTTGACATGTGGAATTTGCGTCTAAGGGATTTTAGAAGAATGCAATACGTTGGTTTCCTTGACTCCCAGCTAACCTTTGAATGCCAAATCTAATTCTAGTGGTTTCACATAGGCTCGATCATATATGGTATACCCATATTCTTCATAAAAGCGTCTATCCTTTTACAGATCGTGGACATCTTCGTGCCTGCCAGGAGGAACGACCCCATGTTCTGGATTTGCCATACCCTGATATGGATCAACTTTGTTTATTAGACGATTGGTAGCTTCCTCGAAATTTTCGCCTGTCGTCCACTAAACAAGGCCCGGGACCCTCTCATTATACATAGGTCCGGTATGGACATGTTTTTCCTCAACTGCATTGCTAGCTCTGTGAATGCTGCCTCAGATTTGATTATCCTCGTCTTGCCACAAACGCGCATTTGGAAATTGCATATGCCGCTGTCTAGAAAGCTTGCTGTATCAACGGTCTTCTTATTCGGTATAATGTAACGCAGTGGTTTCTTTTCTTTCTCTCCAACTTACGACCCTTCATTGATTGTGGCTAATGGTTCATTAGTGCTTGTATCTCGTCTATCGTGAGACTAGCATTCTCCGTACGTCTAATGCAAAACAAGGATAACATATCCTATTACAGTTGGCTTGTGGGATTTTGGCCGCAACCAGAGATAGCATCAGGAATTGTTGTTGCCTGTCTTCCAGTGTTGCCCAAGCTTTTCAACAGCCTGAAGCAGAACAACCGTACAGCCCGGATGAATAGATCTCTTCATGGACTTCTTTCTTCGTTATCATTCGGAAGTAGGAGAGGTACATGACCCAGCAGGATCGTATCTTGTGAGACAGCCACCAAGTCTTGTCAAGTCGTCCAGATCAAGGACAGTCACTCAGATGACTATCCGCTTATTTCTTTGACGAATGGCAAGTATGCAGAGTAGCTTATGGTTTGCATCGAGTACGAAGTATTGTCATGGTTGAAGTGGAACACATGTCGGATGAAGACAGCTATTGACTGAAATGTTCATTGGAACTAAATCTCTCGTGTGAATCAAATGTCGGTGATCGAGCCTATTCATCTCTTGCTAGTACGGTCTTGTCGCTTTATTCCACCTTTCACGAACATTATCCCAGGTAAATAAAATAGCATAGTTCAAGAATGTGCCACCGACGTCTGTGTCATAGTTCTCTTGATTAACTGCGCTGCCTTTGCTGTAGTGACTGGGTTTCAAGAACGAGGGATCTCGCACCCACTGTCATGAACGTAGAGTCCTCTATTGAGAACGACGGCCATTTCTCCTCTAAATGCGGTCAGCAATCCAAACCCCGGGCTTAACGGGGGTTAAATACTTCCAAATCAGTTGGTAACCCTGTTTGTTGCTTTCAGAGAAGAGTTCATACTCATGAGTGTTACGTTGCTGCTTCCTCACCCTCGGATTCCCATCGTTATGGCAAATTAGCTAACGAGCCCAACAGAATCATATTCCATGCATTTCAAGGCCTATACTCGGTAGTGTTATCTTTGAATCATCGACGTGGCGATGGGTTTTTCTACTCAAGTAAATTGATGCTCTTCTAACTCTGTAATAGAGAACGTTGTTCCCCTAAGTGATTGCATGTACAGTATTCCTTCGGTAGTTGTGGTGGGCATAATCCTCATTCTCGCGTTACTTAACTGCTTCCTAAACCATCAAGTACCGCAAGACGAAAGGAGTAGATTTTCGTTGCAGAAATCTATCCACGAAGCCTTTCGCAAGGTCGACTTGCTTGGCTTGGCTCCAGCATGCTTCTTGTTGCCACAGTGTGCCTTGTGGCCGCTTTGGAAGAAGCCAACCAAGAGTACGAATGGATATCTCCATTCACCATTGTCATGCTCGTTATCTCCGGAGTGACTTGGACCGTATTTCTGGCGTGGGAAAGGCGAGTCACACTGAGCTCAACTCAGGTCAAACCCGTGTTTTTCTGGTGATTCGTTCATAACCGGGTTTGGGTCGGAATGCTTTTGTATGTGACTCGTTTCCCCGAAATTGACAGTGAGATCCTGACGGCCAATGAATAAGTCCAGAAACTCGATTTTCCTGGGTGTTACCTGGTTTGTTACTCTCTCTCAGCTGCCGCAAAGGCTTAATATCGTGAATGGTGAATCTCCTTTGCAGGCATGGATTCGCTTCGTTCCCCTTACGGTCGCTGCCCCAGTGGGGTCTGCTCTTATTTTCTGCTGCGGGAAAAGCCTCTAAGATACCCCTTGTATACCTCGTACTACTGGATCCATCATCCAAGTTGCCGGATTTGCGCACCTTTCCACTCTGTCAGAGCCGCCTTGACGATCCCAGCCGCCCAGAGTGGCTATTATGTCATTGCTGGATATGGATGCGGCATCAACATCAGTTTATTGATCCTGATGACTCCTTTTACCATGGATGAACGAGACAAGGATGAGATTACGACCCACCAGTCCTTGCCAAGCTGAGCAAGTGCTTACATCCCTGTCTGTTACCTAGTCGTCGCTATGGGCGCTGTAGCCTATTTTCCTGGTAATGGGAGGCTCTATATTCTGGTCATTGAGACTTCTGTTTCGAACGGCTTTATTCGGTTCCACCTGCGCGGATTGTTGGATGATGAACAGCTTCATTCAGTTTTGCATTCGGCTGCAGCAGTTCCCATACTCCTGCCCAATGCGCAAACGATGGTCCGCACGGTGTTCTCAGAGAGCTACAACTTGCAGATGAAGATTCTAGCTGAGTGTACAGGAGGATAGGTTCTGGCCTTATTCCTCATGTGGAAGAAGGAACAGATCATCGTATGATCGATTAATTACCCGGTCTTGGTATATCAAATTCGTCGAATGACGGACTTTTCGGCAACATAACTGCAATAGACATCACCAATATATTAGTCGGTCATATGGTTTTTTTAAAAAAAAAAAAATATGCAAGTGAGGTTTCATGAATGGGGTCGGTAAAAACATGGAAGCAGATAGGCAGGACGCGAGCAAACTACGCTAATAGTTGGTTAAGGGCTAAGATAGACCAAGTACTGGGCAGGTGGAAAAGCCCTAAGCCGGGTATATATTAGGGCTATTATTATAGTACTACTATAGCAGCTATTCAAGTACTAGTACTAGTCCCGAGTCCTTTTCTTTGTTGCTGCCTACGTAAACAAAGACTGTTTGCTAGGATTATAATAGCCATCCATCCAATAAGATGGTATACTAAAGTTGGGGTTTGATGGACCCTGCCCAGAGTAGTATTCGATTATGTGTCGGCTGAGATATAGTATACACCCTTCTTGTCCCGTTCCCCTCCCACCAAAATTGTCTCGATTTCTCACAGCACTCCCTATGCTACCTTCGCTTTACATTTTCAAGGATTTCCTGCGCACTTGCAACCCCTTTGATGGCTATTACACTGGATGGCGGCATTGCTCTCGTCACGGGCGTACGTTTACTCTTGTCTTCCCTAGCGTCAATCATGACCTCCTCCTCTAACGAGATATACGGCAGGCTGCCTCTGGAATCGGGAAGGAGACGGTCTTTGCCCTCGCCCAAGCCGGCGTAGAAGGCATCATTCTTGCCGATCTGAACCATAGCGGCTCTGAATCAGTCGCTAAGGAGAGCCAAAAATGGGCCACTCATCCTGAGTTTCGCGCGACAGCAGTCCAGGTGGACGTTTCTGATGAGACCGCCGTGAACAACATGGTTGACGTAGCAGTCAAAGGATTTGGCAGAATTGACTACTGCGTGCACTCAGCGGGAGTAAGTCAGAAGAACCGAAGGGGGCGACAATCTTCGTTCATGGAGACTGACGCTGCTGAACCTTCCAGATGGGTAGTATTTCCGGGGCGACAACCGAGCATCTCAAGGTCGACGTCTATGACCAGACAATGACGGTCAATGCTAGAGGCACAATGTTGGTCTTGCGAGCTGTCTCGGCTGAGATGGCCAAACAGGAGCCTCGCATGCACCAGAGTGCCCGTCACGGTACTTCGCGCAGCCTTGGCCGTGGCTCGATTGTTGTGGTTAGCTCTGTGAATGGCACCATGGTTGCGCCTGGGATGCTGTCATATGCAGCTTCCAAGCACGCTGTAGCAGGAATAGCAAAAACAGCAGGTAAGCTGACCACCAAAGAACCCCAACCTCCCTCCTTCTTCTTCCAAAATCGTTAATGCTGACGTTCTGGTTCTCACCCTACTAGCTATTGACAACATCAAGAACCACATCCGAGTTAATATTGTTGCCCCCTTTTACACAGAAACCCCAATGTTTGAAGCTAGCCTGAAGCGAGTCCCTGAACTGGGCGCTGCTATCAAGGCAATTACCCCATTGAAGAGAGCTGCAATCCCCGAGGAAGTTGCGGATCCGATCGTATTCCTGTGCAGTTCAGCGGCAAGTTACACGAATGGAGCCACGCTCATCATCGATAGTGGAATAACACTTACCATACCCCGGACCAGTCTGTGAAGCTTTCTAGGAAAGGTTCTACTGCTGGTCTTCTCATGATCGATTCTCTTTCACTCCTTTGATGTACAAGGCAGAAGATAGCATCTCAGTTCAAACTACGAGTCAAAGCCTGCCTTTTTGAAGCCTTTATAGCTATTTTGTAAGTGTCAACCAGGAAATGCCCTATGAATTGCCCTATAGAGACGCCGATGGTGTCCGGCCAATTTCAGGTGGTCAAATGGAATGATTTTTTATTCCACAGATATGAACATAGAATAACTACCAAATAGTAAGTAAAAAATAATTCTTTGGCCTCGCTTGGTCCGCAATAGCACTGGCTCTATTGGATATTTTGCGGATAATTCGGTCGAGTCTCGCTCAATCAATATCTTTGTTAATCTCTCTTGTCTGTCTCCGTGGACAAGACTTGAACGCCTGTCTTACCCGCGCGCATGAATTGTACTCCATATGGAGTGCGTAAATTCGTACTATGGCTCAGTGGTTAATACACTACCGTATCTAGTATACGAAAGATGTTAATCCGGTGAATTTTATCATCCACTCACACGAAATACCCACGCATCATTGGGCATCATCTTCCATCGTCGCACACCCAACCTAATGGTCTAGGATTTGTATCGGTAAGCTCAGTGGCCTACATAAACGTACAAGCAATATAGTACTGAAATCTTTTACTCGATATTATCTCTATTTATATGGGTCGAGAGTTATGATTAACAGGGATCGAATTTCTTACTATGGAAAAAGCTTCATCTTTCCTTAAATAGTCATTCCTGTCTACTTAGCTACGCTGTTAATTGGAAGTATCAGGATTTTTCAGTACCGTAGTAACAACCCCGCAAGGTTAACTTATGTGCGAAAAGGGAAAAAAAAAAAAAAAAAATCATCATAAACCACTGATGGTTTGATTCTCACACAAAAGACCTTCCCCACACTTTTTATATCCTCTTTGAAGTACCTGCTACTCAGGAGGAACGCCTAAGCCATGGCCACTGGAAGGCCCAACTACAATGCAGACAGTGGAGTAGATATGTATCGTTATCACCAAATTGAACGCCGCGCGAGGCCTACTAGACGAAGAGCGTGAAGACCTCCCACAAAATCCAAAGGATACTAATAATTACATCCTCGGCCGTATGAACGGACACAATGTGGTGGTCGGGTATCCTGGATCGGGCCTCAAAGGCCCCCATAACGCCTCACGTGTCGCAACTAAAATGGCGAGGACAATTATTAACATCCAGTTTGGGTTACTGGTGGGAGTTGGTCGAGGGGCGCCGAGACCGGCTGATACTGAGAGTACTTTGAATGACAATGGGTTGGGAGATGTTGTTAGTGATCCGAGGGGGAGTCATGATAAGCAGTATTCATGAAGTGCCCTTGCTTACTGAGTGTGTCAATGCTAATCCTGACTCAGGAGGTGTTCTGCACTACGATGCAGGCAAGTTCAAAGATACTGAAGTGTTCCAGATCACATCTCATCTGAATCGACCGCCCTCTCTCCTTTTAACTGCCACACAACGGCTCCAGTCAGACCATGCGTACGAGGTAGGACAGATGGGAAACTACATCCGTCAAGTCTGGTCTAAGTTTGCTCGCCTCCCAACCCTGAGAGCATACCGATTCCTCGGCTGGGAGAGTGATCGGTTATTCAGTTCAAGCTACGATCATACCGGCGAAGGAGACTGCTGAATACCTAGTGGTACTTCTATATGATGACATTAAGACGGTAAGGAGTTTACAGAATGGCGGAACATTTTACTTCTCTGTGACGGCCGAGGACAAGCGGTAGGTATATAAAGCCATCGCGACCCGGCTTTTTCGTAACTGAACATCTGTACTACAGCAGGAATTCTCATCCCCTGTAGTTCTCCTTGCGTCAATCTACATACGTCGTGCGTATCTGTACCGATACTCACATTTGCGATCCATGGTCGGGGAATGTGAAATGCTAATGGAGGCCACACAATGTCCGTGATGTGGTGGAGGAATTGAAGGACATAACTATGAGCCGTTCTCAGACATCTACCAAGTTGATAATATGGAGCAATTTTTCGAGCCTCTTTAGAGACACGAAGTATACTGATGGATCAGTGTTGACGAACAAGCTGCAAAATTTGAGTGAAAGGGGTTTTTTCAGCCTACTAGGCTGGATGCCAGAACTTTACAGCAAGGCTTGCTCTAGGCAAATGTATATAATCTCCCCTCGCTCAAATTCCTCCCGGCAATGGAGACTACTATAGTAGCAACGTACATGAATCGTTATATAAAGTTGGAGGACCGGATGCAAACAACAAAAGCATGACATTATTAGACATTACAAGCCCAAATTATCCATCGTAGGTACATAGACAGCTAGCTCAGCTTGACTCAATAGTATACCGGAACTCATCCACAAGAAGCGTAATGTTCTCCGTCAAGTCCTTATCCTTCCCAGCAGACTTAATGCGGAAGAACAAAGCATCCACGAGATACAGATCGTCCAGGTCAACAGTCTGCAACGCGTTGGTGTTGGTATACTTAACCGAAACATACTTCTGGTTAACTAGGTTAGATCCGGTGATCTGAATATCACAGGGAACCGTCTGTTTTTTGTTTCCATTCTTGACACTGCAGCCGAGTTTCACGGATTTCCCGTTGAATTTATTCTTGCCCCCGTCCACACTGACAAAACCCCGGACATTGACGTCGGTGATGTTGGTCATGGGGTAGAACAAGAGCTTGTCTGCCTTGGTGCTCTTCACGTTCGAGGCTTGCACGGAGTACCGGCCAACTTGCCAATCGCCGTCGTATTTCAGGCCCTGGAAGGGGTTGGGCTTGAGGGGGCCAAGAGGGCGGTTATCGAACTACGGTATCTCAGTTAGTAACAAGGTAGGACCGTCACGATGGATACCTAAACACATCTTACCGGGACATAATGGTCTTTTGTTGACTCGGTAGGAGCTGCAATAGCTACACCGGCCGCGACCGAAAGGAAAGAAAGGAATGACAGCTTCATGTTGGATTGAGCGGTGAGGACGAATAATCAGAGAGGAAGAGAGGTGAGAATTAATGTTTTGAGGTAGAGGAAATAAAGGATGGATAAACGAGAACCCATGGCCCCCTTTATACGATTCCCAGGGCTGAATAACCCCTCGAGGACAAGGGGCTGATTGAGAGGTGAAATTCCAATCGGCATTTGCAGCCGCACAGACTGGCACCCGGATCTACAATCTAGTTTATGACTAGTGTGCTATTAAGGTACATTAGTGTGGAGATGTCTATACTAAAGGAGAGTCAATCTCGGACCTGTTCGGCACCCTTGCATCCCCATAGGTAAACCAGATCGACAGATCAGATGATTCACATTCCAGACACGGGGAGTCGCTTTCCTTTTGAACTTTGGAAGAGAAAGGCAATACTTGAGTATTGAGCATGTATTAGGGAAGAGATCACCAAAGATAATGACGTGACGTCCCTATTTCGACAGGACACCTGACTACCTCAGCTTAGGAATCACGGTACCCTAGAATTAGCGGTGGCCCTAAGGACAGGATATATATATATATATTTGTTGATCCTGCCGACGGATACGTTAACCGCGAAATCGAGGCCTCGGGCATTGTAAAAAGATAATAACTAAGTTTGCTAACACCAACGCAACTGTATCTCGGCCGATTGATCCTATTTAGAAGGTTTTACAATATTATCTACCGATTATAATTTTCTAAGTAATATAACTTTAGTTCTGCGGTACTTTACTGCTTTGAAAAACTTTTGTCTGTACCTAGTGTAGCCCTTAGGAGATTACTTCCACTAACTTTAGGCATTATGATCCTCTCTATATACTATTCTTATTATTACCAGTACTTTAATACCATCCTCAATTTAGCTATAAGATCTAGATTTCATTAGTAATCTTGATATACTATAGGATACTAGACTTTGTAAAGTAGAGCGCTACTTAAGTAAGTTCGCTGGGGTAACTAATATCTGGATTAAACGCTATAGTTTCGGTGTGAAAAACCGCTGTTGTCTGGAACCTCAACTTAGTCCACCGTGAATACGTAGCATTCACCTAATCATGTGCATGTGACAATGAGAGGTGACCCCGTTGTAACTCATTTGCATATTATCCCCAACCTCATATCCTAACCCCCATATCTCTTCAAAACACGTCAAGTACGTTATTTAGTTCGACTACTGCTAGAATTCCCAAGTAATACACTGGGAGTACCGCTAGCTGCTGCCCTCTCTTGTTCTAGTAACACCTGTGGCTAAGCTTCTCACTCTCAGAACGAACGAGATAGCTGGTTGTCATTCTTGCGGCTTCAGCATGATTGCGAGCTCAACTTCCTGTAGCCGGTCATCTGGGACTGATTTCCCAGCGGCTCCTTCCTATTCATCTTCTTGCTCACCAGGAGTTCTGACACCTCCCTTTCCAACTCAGCAGCAACACAACACGCCACCCTCTCCCATCCAACAACAACTACGCATACTTATCATTATGGGGTCATGTGCTTGGAGAGATGGGTTCCTTCGGTGCTCGTGCAACTCTGGATCGAGCCTCACCTCTGATCCGGATGTGAACCAGGCATCGTGTGTCTGCGGGCATCCAATGCTTCTGCACCGGAACGCTTGTTGGTCCTTTACGCCTTTTATGAATTGATGACAGACAGCTAATCTATATTACCAAACCAGCAGCCACACAGAACATTACTCTGCCAGCTTTCCCTGAATCTAAAGTTGTCTCTCCTCTTGGTAAACAGTCCACTCTAAAAAAAAAAAAAAAAAAAAAGAAAGAAATGTGACAGCATTCTAAGTGTTGGTCCCTACAGAACTACCACCTTTTACGATCGCACGAGAAATACTGGTGGATGAACTGATCGCTCGAGTTAACCATTACCGTATAATTCGGGTGAACGGTACCCCAGCATCGGGGAAAACTACTTTGATGCGTCTTGTAGCAAATGAACTGCTCAGGATATATGGTGAGGAGAAGCCTATTTACTGCCTTTCAGGATGGCGACAAAGTATCTATGATATAGGCTGGGCCGCGCATTTGGAGAAGAACACCGGCGTACACGGCCGCAGCTGGCTCAACTACTCAGCTTATTTACTTCTAGATGAAGCTCAGTTGTTATACTGGGATGATAACCTCTGGTCAGAGTTCTTCAAAAGTGTCGAGCCGCCTGGTACTGGCCCCTTCATAATTCTATTTATGTCTTATGGCTCACCGCACAGGGGCTTTGTGGGTTTTGGCGGGAAAGAGCATGCGGAAACTCCGATAAACTTTGCCCCCGAACAGCAAATTTCCTTACATCCAGAAGGAAGCATTGGACCTCATAGTCTGAGCCCACCACGTTGGAGGCCTGTTGGTCTACTGCTTAACGAGGATGAGGCAGTAGACGTGGTAGGCCGTTTCGCATCCGCTGCCTTAAGCTCAAATATGACAGGGACTCTGACACACGAACTGAAACAAGGACTCTTTGCGTGCAGTAATGGACATGTAGGGTTGCTAACGAACCTCACGCGTATTCTGCAGGACACACCAGTGAGCCTTACCCTGGAGTTAACAGTCGAAGCATACCACTGATCAATCTATTAACGTTCATATTTCCATAATAGAATTTTTATGAGCTCATACGGACCGGCTCCGCTGTCAGTTGGACAACAGCAAAAGAAATTCTTTTCCGTCAACCCCTGGCCTTTTTCAATTCCCTCAAAGTTTCTCCGTTTGGTCGTGGCTTACCTCCAGACGCAATATTGCAAGAACCTAGTGCGGCTACGGTACTCAAGGTAGCTATCGCCTCTGATGGAATATACCAATCTCAGTTCAGAACCAAGAACGAAGAAGCGAAACAAGCTCTCAAATGGATCTGGCAAAATGGGTGGCTGCATGCCGAGAAGTCAGATAATGATATACGCTACGTTTTTGCAAGTCAGATCCACAGGTGGTAAGCGCGTGTTCTGTAAAATGTTGTGCATCACTAAATAACAGAATATTTAGGTACTGCCACACCCTTCTCACAATGCGTGTCCCCGACAACAACCTCAGCTATACTACACCTATCCAACTAGCGGTTCATACTATCACTAAGTTCCAACCAAGTCAGCTGGCCAAGGCCCCACGTTCCAGGGCAGTCGAGGGTAATGTATTGCCTCTTGAGGACCAATATCAGAAGGAGTTTTACCGTTGCCTTTTCCCTATATTGGACGGCCACTTTGTAATGTCACCCGAATTTGTGGTCAAAGCAGGGTCAAAGGGTGGCACCATTGACTTCCTTATTGCTGGGAAGAAATGGGGGTTAGAGCTGCTTCGAGAACGTGATCGGCTCGTGGAACATATGAGAAGGTTTGACAAAGGTGGCCAATACTACAGCATGTTGGAATCCGGGGAAATGGAACAATACATTGTTCTAGACTTTACAAATACGGCACCGAAAAAGTCTCATCCAGGTAATACCTGCCTTGCATATATTTTGCTTAACTAACATCTTCTCTAGAATATAAAAAGAAACTTTACCATGTCGTTTTCACCGACAACGACCGACAAGTTGATGTAATTGATGGCTCGGATCTAAGCGTTGCCCACTCTTTCATGTTGCTGGAGCATTCAAGTTCAAATGTTTAGAATAGGTTTACCACCTATTGAATCATCCTGCGATTGCATCTAGGTAGTTTGCCGTATATCGGTTCACCCAGTTTGCACTACCTTTGGGCAAAGTTGCCTTCATCCATTGACTTTAGATAGGGCAGAATAATATCATAACATCCATCATATTCGCCTTCTTTCAACTCACCAGGTAGAACTTACTCTGAAGATGAGCAGGATTATGTATGACTACAACCGTACGGTGAAAGGAAAGCTGGGAGGGGCCCACTGGACTTTCCCACCGTTCCAGGACGGCACAACACTAAGGCGATCTGATACAACTGTGCCTCCGAGCGCAAGCATCCACGCATCAGCCCGCGTCAATCCGGTAGCGTATGGAAAACAGATTGACTTAGAGTATATTGAAATTCTAGTGAGTGATAGGACGCCATAGTACTCTTGAAAGCATTCCCCTAGCCCTGGACAGGTATATCGAAGCATTGGAAGCGTTCCATACACTCTCAGCTTCAATTGAAGACAGAGAGCTTTCGGAAACAAATGATACTGACGGTGCACAGACATATACTGGGATCGAAGAAAAAAAAGAATGGATCAGTGTCACTAGAAGGCTTGGGATTACACAAGGCCAAGGATACCTTCCGTGACTCACTGCACAACCTTGTACAGGATCGGCTTTTAAAAAATCAGGAATGGACTTGACATTAATGGCCGAAGGCAGAAGCTCCCACCTTTTGCTCCACCCATGGATCCTGGAGCCTTAGCCCAGGCCAAGGCAGCTCCTGGTGGATTTGCCGGCTTACTATCAGGCCTTGAGAGCCCGATGCCAAACTATCGATTTGATTATCTGATTCGTCATGCATTTGAGCTTGTGAGCGAACTCCGAAGCCTTGAACAGCAATTCCTTACTATAAGAGAGAAAAAGGACACTGAAGGACTGGCATTGCCCCGATCTCGCCATCAGTGCACCGTCCTGGCACTGGCCAAAAAGGTCAAGAAGCACGAGAAACAGGAGACACTCAAGGCCATTGATGTCATTAGTGCAGCGCGCACCCAGCAGGAAAAAGCAATGGAATATTATCTCCTACTCACTGCTGATAAAGATAAAATCAAAATCCCTGGTATTGGTGAATCATGGAAGGGCGTGCCACAAGAGATTCACACCATTAAAGGGGACATCCCGATGTCTTCCCTCGAGAAGGAGGAGTTGGATAAGGGAGATACGGCATCCGACGTCTATCTAGCGGCGGGTGTGGCCAGCGCAGTTGGTGATGTGGTGGGTGTCATACTTGACTTTGCGGTAAAGGCACAGCCGATGGGTGTAGGGGCCGATACTAGTATGGGAGGAAGTCACCTTTCCAGAATCCACCAATTTTATGCGGAGGCTTTCAGAACCGCAGCACAACACACATAGGAGGGGGGTGCACAAACTGGATGAAAGGGTGCGTTGAGCCGTGCTCTTCAAGAACGCCGGCAGACCACGAACAATCTTGGCTGGGAGCTGATGCGGCTTGACAAAAAAAAGATCACATTTCACATTTACAGGCTAGATGTGATATGTGCGATGTGGCAATCAAGTCATCACAGAAGGATATTGAGAATTCTGGCGCAAAGGAGGATTGGCTTCGGATGAAGAACACTGGGGAGCAGCTATATAATAGGCTTGATAGCACAGTGACTATGCTATCTCGTCAAACATACCAGCTTACCCTTGAAATGGCTAATGTGGTCCAGTGTGCTCTGCATTTTGAGCATTCGCTCCGGTTTCCTAACAGTAAAAGCCCAGACAGCCAGCTAGCCAAGGGGCAAACAGATTATTGGGAGCAATCCCCTGATGGGCAACTAGCAGGGGAGGCTTCGTACCTGGACCTCAAGCGCATGGAGTTGCTACACATGGAGAACTGTACTCATGATTTTGAGATTACGAAAAACGTTTCTATTCGGCAGCTTAACCAATGTGTTCTCCTTCAGTTACGCGAACAAGGCAGGTTGTCTGTCGTGAATCAATGGCAGAACTACCCTGACCGAATCATACTTAAAAACCGATATGCGCCAATGCTAGGCAAGGCCACTGAAATGATGCTTCACGAGACCGCGCATCCGGAGCCTGTTACCCTCTCCCGGCTTTCCCCCCAGGCAGACAGTATCAGATGTTTTGGTGGCCTTTATCCAGTAACGAAGTTCGGATGTGCACGAGGCCTGGGTAATGCCGTCCGCCGCGGAATCTTGCCCATCGACGAGGCCTGTGATTTTCAGCTGAAAGCTTGACACGGTAAACTGGAACCTGCTATTGGTGGCCTCTTCGCGAGCTGGCAGCTCGGTTTCCCAGGCTTGAAATCAACAGCAATCAAGGCTCCCGGCTTCTCGAACGTGCCATGGGGTCCGATAGAGTGGCGGGTTATGCTATGGAAGGACTGATTGACCAGATCCAGAGGGGGGAAACCACCAAGGAAGAAGTACGCGATTTCTTAATCGAAGCCTCGGGATACACCGAAAAGGTGGAAACAGCAGGCGCCCTCCTGGTCCGGGATTGGCTGTGGCCGTGGATCCAGGAATAAAGGAATTCCCGCATTTTCTAACCCAGTCAGCCAACACCCCGAGTATACTCTCGCCTCCACTGCTCCTAGTCTAACGAGGTGCGAGTGCAATCTAACTCGCTCGGTGCTGGCTCGTGAGGCACATTACCAGCGACTGGGTGCATACCTTGGCATCTTCGACATCCCAGTGTCGAACACTCTTTCAGAGAAATACATGCCTCCTTACTACTCCTTGAGCATTTCCGCTTTAACTCCGTTGACCCACGGTGTACAGTTAGCTGCATTATTTGACCAAGCCCATTCGAGCCTCGAGGATTGTTGGGAAATCGCACCCTCCTCGCGGCCACCCATTCCTGCTGCAGAGCCTGCCAGTCGAGACCCATAAAAACATTCTCGAATTTATCGCGTCTTTTGAATGGCTCGCCGACATATCACAGTGTACAGCGATTGCCCTTTTCCTAGATCGTACTCTTACTGTTGCACCGTCTATCAGTGACTTAGAAGCCTATGATACTCACCCAATAGATATAGTCCAAATGGTAGATGGCAAGGGGTATAATGCCATTATTGCACGGTTTAAGGCAGAAACTCAGACGGTGACAGTGCTATGGACTCAAGGCTCACCGGAGTATATTATTAATAGTGCCATTAGTGAGTCAGGATCGTTGGTTGTCTTGATGTTCAAATCACTGGCTCGATGGACTCTAGCGACTCAAAATCTATGTACCATTGAGGCTGACTACGTAGAGATTGGTCAGTATTTGAAAACGATAATGATACTTGTTGATATATGGAGAACGCGCTTCGGCCCAATTGACCGTGATGCTGCGATGAGTCTGGAGCTAGCAACAACCTATCTGCGGCGTAATGCACTTTTCTGTGCTATCGACGGAGATCTCGCGGGCCTTGTCTTCTACGAGCTTTCCTGCCGACTTCAGAGTTTCCTGGCGGACTAGCAACAACCATCGAGCACTAGTAGTATCCGTGAAACATTGAAACTGACCAGCGATCACCGGAATTATCAACGACTATCGAGAGCGATGGAAATTTCGTACCTCCTCTCAAAAAACATAGGGGAACTCAAGCCCTGGCTTCCAAGGGAAAGCGGGACTTCAGGCAGATATAGAAGACGTTCGGGCACATCCGGTGAGAGACAATCCATTTTAACCCAGGTTTTCTGTTACTGAATATAGCGCAGAATCCTACGCTGGTCGTGCAAGCGTACCTACTAGCCGCCAAAGCGCTTGCAGAAGAGATTCGAAACTCCTTCCTCGCGGTCGACACGAAACGAATTTCGGAGTTGTCGATTGTTCTCAATAGCTGTCTGCGGGAGCTACAGGGCATGAGAAGTACTCTGGTTATGTATCCAGCCACAGAATGGGATGATCGAAATAAGGGTTCTTCCTAAGCCCTGGGGGCAGCCGGGGTCTCTGTATTAGGTTATTTCTTTATAGGATATGATGTCCAAAGGATACTGTAACCTTTCAAGATTCATGGGGAAATGCCATATAAATATTTAGAGAAAGTTTTGCATAAGATATGAATGATATTCTTTGATTTCTAGAGCAGATCCAGCAACAAGACAACCGATTCTCGCGTATTGCATTAACTACCCACTTTAATTTGACGTGCGCTAGGTTTAGCTTTTCAAAACGGCTCCGCGGACCCGCGGATCCCCAGATGTCGGCTCAAAAATCCAAAGGACCCATGCATATGAAGAGACACTCGGAACCGCAGTCAGGGTATCAGACGTCAACGCTGTCAATGGATCCCCAGAGCCAGATATACAAAGCGTCCAATATAAATAGAGCACAAACCGAGCTGTGTTCATTTCCATTCCATCCTGTTCAATCTCAAATTCAAAACTACTTCTCCTACATTTGTACCGAATCCCGCCAACCATGGCCAACAATACTAATTCCAAGCCCGTCGTCTTCATCGGCGCTGCGGGTGAGATGTGTCGTGTCGCCGTGGAACGCTTTGCCAAAGCCAGCAATGCCCAGCTTGTTCTTGCAGACTTGAACACTGCTGTTATCGAATCTCTTGCGGCCAAATTACCAGCTGGAAGGGCAAGTACTCACGAGCTTAATCTATTTGACGAATCTGCCCTTGCCCGGTTAATCAGCGGTGCCGGACTGGTTGTTCTGGGCGCTGGACCGTATGCCAAAACTTCCCATCCGGTCGTCAAGGCATGTATCGCAGCCAAAGTTCCATATCTCGACTTTGATGACGACGTCGAAAGCACGCAGGCCGCTCTTGCGCTCACTCGAGAAGCAGAAGAAGCCGGTGTCCCTCTCTATATTGGATGCGGCGCGTCGCCCGGCCTGAGCAACGTCATGGCCATGGATGCCACCCGTGAACTCGACTCCGTCGATAGCATCGATCTCTGTTGGCTTGTGGGCGACGAAGCAACTGTCGGGAAAGCCGTGCTCCAGCACTTGATGTACATTGCTGCTGGACCGTGTCTGACATGGGTGAATTCGAAGCCGACAGTGAACGAGTCTTGGGTCGGGACTACCTACGCGCCTATGTATACCGACGATGGCGAGAGGCTCTTACACGAGACCGCTCATCCCGAGCCGGTCACGCTTCCGCGACATTTCCCAAATGCCATCAGGATTCAGTGCTTCGGCTCGCTGGATCCAAAACCTCTCAATGGTGTCGCACGCGGCCTTGGCACTGCTGTTCGTGCAAAGGCTGTGTCAATGGACGATGCTGTTGAGTTTCTTTATAATCTGACAACTCACCCGCCTTTAGCGGGCGGCGTGGGTAGCTTGGGTGAAGCTTTTGCTGCTTTCAAGGGACAGCTCCGCGGTGGCGATATCACTCTCAAAGAGCTGTACCACTTGATCAGCCACTCTGTCGGCCCTCTCCGGTATGCTCTATGGGGAATGCTAGAGCAGATCTGGAACGGCGAATGCTCAACTACGGAGGTTGTGACTTACATCATGAACGCAATGACTGGAACGAAAATCGAAAACCGAGGCAACTTACTGGTGAGGGTGGTCGGGATGCGCAACGGTGTGCCGACGGTGATCACGAAGCGCAATCCGAAGAACGGAAAAGACAGTTATCTGTGTCAGAGTATGGGCACTGTCACTGGAACCGCGACTGCTGCGTTCATGGTAATGGCGCTGGAAGACGGCCACAAGCGTTGTGGTGTTTTCTGCCCCGAGGACTGGGCTCAGCCTGAGGTGCTGTACAGTGCCCTAGAGCGAGTTGGGGTTCCCAAGGATGAAATTATCGAGACTATCTAGAGATTTTTGGGTTGAGCTATTGAGATAACTTCACTTCGCGGATATGAAATCAACATATTTTTAGTATTATCCATAGTAGTACTCTTGAATCCGGTATCAATGTGACAGTCATCTCTTCTGTTTCCTGACGCAACATAGCCTCTATAGTAAATTTGCACGTTCTCTCTTTTCAGGGTACATGCTGAGTTCTATGGCTACTAATATGTAGGCTGCAATTTCTTTTTTAGTCTACATGTGAATACATTGATCAAGGAATGTGCGTAGTCAACCGCATACACCCGGGGCTGCATAGCAATTCCTCTCATAATGGCACCACTGCTTTTAATCACTACTAGCCTCTTCTGACCAGGTAAGATATGTAGACGGGTAGCATTAAATCCAGCGCTGATGGTTTCGCGTTGGATTAGAACACCCCCATTGTCCGCAATGCAAGAACAGGTCGACGTTTGGTTTGAAATGAATTATGCTGCTTGCCGCGGCAGAAGCAAGCCGGGAATCTTCGAAACAGTTGACCTAAGTACCACTTATCTTACCAAGGTGGTGACGATACCCCCCCCCCCCCCTACCTTGGCTTGACCCACTCACACCTCACGGACCCGCGGATCCGGTTCTTCAAAGTAGCTTCGACCCAGGGATGGGCTCCCAGTTAAATACTCTCGGGGAGTTGCCCACTCCCAAAGAACTATACCCCGGTTCAGAATAAAACCACCTCTTCCATAACCGAGTCAACCAGATCAACCAGCTTAACCAGTGCAAGATGCCGAATAAAATTGATGCCGTGGTCGTCGGGGGCGGCATGGCTGGCATCATCGCGGCCAGGGATCTCAGTCTGGAAGGACTCTCAGTGGTCGTCTTGGAGGCCCGCGATCGCCTCGGTGGACGCACATACATGGATAAAGCATTCAATAATGAACTGGACCTCGAGCTCGGAGGAGGGTATGTCCACTGGACCCAACCACACATCTGGCTCGAGCTGCAGCGCTACGGGATAGCCATCTGCCCACCGATGGAAGGAGATAAGACTTACTGGCTGGCCAATGGCTCTGTTCATTCGGGAACCCAGGAAGACTTCTTTGCTGTCGCATACCCTCTTCTCGAGCGTTTTTTTGCCGACTCCCGGGCTCGATTCCCGCTCCCCTTCCAGCTAGACCTCCTTGACAACACAGAAATCGAGCAGGAAACCATTGAAGACCGCCTCAAATCGTTGAATCTTTCGCCTTATGAGCGGGATGTTCTTGAAGGTGTTCTAGCGGGCGTGATCCACTCACCGAAAAAGCAGGGAGTCGCTCAGCTTCTTCATGCAACGGCCACTTATTTCGGGGATTACAGGGCTTTTTTTGAGACAGCCGGCGCTTGGAGTATCAAAGGAGGCACCAGGCAGCTTATCCAAGCTATCCAGGCCCATTCAAAGGCCGAGGTCCGGCTTTCCACCCCTGTTACTTCTATATCATCAACTGGTACCGGCGCTGTGGTTACCACTCGTGCTGGCGAATCGATCTACGCCCGTGTGGTGGTCGTCGCCGTCCCCTTGAACACCCTCGGTGACATTCAGATCGCCCCCGACGTACCCTCCGCCGCGCGCTCAATGATAGACCGAAAGAACCCCGTGATGGCCCATAAGCTATGGGTACGGGTAAAGGGTGATGTTGAACCTTTTTCAATCTTCGCACCCGCGGGGAAGCACCCGATCAATGCAGTAAGGGTCGAGAAGCGTCATAACGGTGATTCAGTGATCCTGTGTATGTGCTCTGATGCTGCTGCCATCGATCCAGGCGATATACCTACGGTCCAGGCCGCTTTGGAGCGATTTATCCCTAATATTGAAGTTATTGACACGGCGTACCATAACTGGGTGACTGACGAGTTCTCTAAGGGTGGGTGGATGATGCACCGGCCAGGCACTTTGACAGTAGGCCCGCCGGTGTTCCGGCAGCCACATGGAGATATCTACTTCGCGGGAAGTGATCTTTCGACGCTGGAGGCTGGTTCGATTGAGGGTGCGGTGGAAAGTGGTGTACGTGCTGCTCGTGATATTGTAGGGCGGCTGTCGGTAACAAAAAAGAGTCGTTTGTAGTTGCCGAACGGTGATTGAGCCTCTTCCTACCTGAACGTTGTCGCAAGCTGTATATAGGTCTATATATAGGATATTATACATCTATCACTTATGGTTCACCTCTGAAAAGTCCCAGATTTGGTTCCGATGCAGACAGTGAGTTGAGACAAAAACAGCTTGTTCGTGCATCATAATGTTCCTGCTCGAGACAGAAATCTCCATCGTAGTGTCGCTGCAAGTTCAACCATTTCGAAAAGAGCGGTTTGTGCTACTGCTATCTCTTTTAAATTATATTACAGAATCTCTAAACCACGTTTTGGAGTAGACTCAAGTACATATGCAATTCATGCTGGCCACTCCATCCCCTGACGAATATCGCCCCAGGGTACGTAGAACTTCTCCTTCCAGTAGAAGGATCGACGACGCCACGGAGCACAGTTACCCGTCTTTGGGAGACTACTTCCCCCCCCCTTTGCGTATATATCTGGATGTCAAGTACAGCAAAGGCGTCTCCTCCATGACCTTCTTTTCCTCGTCACTGCAATTATAGAGCATGATTTCGGTTTCATTGTCCTGATCAAACGACATGCCAACTGCGCGGTAGCATCCGCTCTCAGGGTCCAACTAGCATCGACATACCCTAAGGCCCTACAAAGTTGCTGCCCACCGGTGAATAAGGGGTATAATCTGCTATGCGTCTACAGTGGGTGAAATATAGTATGTCTTTACATCAAATCATTACCAACGGGATCAACCGAAAGGCCCAGGTCACACTCATTCTGATACGCCCTAAACAAACATATATTCTACCTTGATTCACATGTTTCGATAGCAAATGTCGCTTATTCGGGTTCACAGGAAATCCAAAACCGAGTGGCTCCGAACAAGACACCTGCGGTAATCATGGTGACACCGGTGAAGACCTGCATCGGTAGGTAATTGGTCCTGCCCGTGTTCTCGAGCAATCGTCCTGCAATTGGACCGGTCCCAAGCACTGCAAAAGAGTTAATGGTGATGCAAATGCCTGTGGTAGGAAAGACAAATCAGTATCCTACAGGTTCTGCAACAGATAGTGCAAAGATGCACAAGCCGACGATAGAGGTACTCACCATTCCAGGACCCAAGGACCTCCGGCGATGGAGCTAATAGAGATAAACAAGGTGAAAAAATGGCTTGGATTGCTCCCGACAGGAGTCCGTAGGCCAATGCCCACACAATTATTCCGGGGACGCTCGTGGCACTGATCCAAGCGAATCCGACCACACCACAGGCAACACAAGTAAGGGTCAGGGCGTTCAAGAATCCGAAGCCCGAATCTGCGATGAGCCCCAGAGCGTAGCATCCAAAGAACCCGCCCGCGTTCAAAATGGCCGCGTCATAGAATGCCAGGCTCGGTGATGTTCCCCACTGCATGGCGTATGGTGTGATGAAAAACTACAACGACGGATCTAATTAGCTCCGTTTTAACCGTTCGGACACGCCATACTACTAACCCATGGGATGTAAATGCCCAGGTTCATAATGAGGAGTGCGAACGTAAAGAGGACGGTGCGTTTATCAGTAAAATATCGCCTCAGGGGAAGGAGCTCGCGCTCCCTGCTGCGGGCAAATCGGGGTTGGATGAGGAGAGTGGCGGCAACCATCAAAGCCAACTGCATGAAGGCGATAATGCGCAGAGTCCAGTGGAGCGAAAAGCCCTTTTCATTGAGAAGCTTATTCGTGAGGACCGGCCAAATGACTCCTGTAAGGAGCGTGAAATATGTTAGCTCTTCCCTGTCTTGTGGAAGTTTCGCAGTCAATGTCAACGATGTACGCGCCTCCTACATTCTGGCCCGACATAACAGCCGCGACGACAAACCCACGGCGTCTGAGAAACCACTGAGACTGTACTGCGAGGGTGGGCGTGAAAGCTAGACCCATGCCGATCGACAGGCAAAAGCCCTGAGATAGCAGAACCTGGTAGAACTCGGTAGCAAGAGACGACATCATGTTTCCGAAGACCATCAAGAATGTTCCCACTGACAGTGGTAAGGTCGGCCCATACCTGTCCGACAACCGGCCAGACCAGAGTCCAAAGAAATAACAACCCCAAACCTGCACACTACCTATCCAGCTAATGGTAGAGGGGTTCTCCTTGGGAAGCGCAGTGGAGGCATAGTAGCTCTGGAAGACTGACCCCCCAGTGAGGAAGCCGAGGGTAGCAACAAAGGCCAGAAATCCACCCAGCACCGTGAGCCAGGCGCGGATTCCCCCGTCCGGAAAGTAGGCCTCGATCTCACTGCGGGCTGCGGGGGTCTCCCTGGTGGAGTCGATGGGTCTGGGGTGCATATGCTTGGCCTCTTCGGCCTTTTCGAAGTCCGCAGACATGATGCAAACTTGCGGAGTATTAGAGTGGATTGTTCGCTGTCAAGCCATAACCCCCCTGGTATCTGGCAATAGTTTTAAAGCCCCACCAAGCCCCCCCCCCCCCAACCCTCTGGACTCAGCATTCCCCAGACCCCAGGGATAACGGTGACGAGGATGGAAGGCAACCATTGGGTAACGCTGTGAACCGCGGAGCCGCGGACCCAAGCCCAGTTGTTGTGCTATCGCCACCGTCGCGGGGCTACAGCGGTCACGCCCTGTGCTACAGCCACAAACGCCCGGGGGGGGGGAAGGTAGATCGTAGATGCTTGTATTCCTCTATCTATCTATCTATCCTAGAAAGCTAACGCTATTACCTGCGTTTGGCAGATTAGGAAGGCGTTCGACAGACTTTGAAGGAGCGGTGCGTGATGCATAGTACACCCTGATATATTACGTAGCGTTTAGTTCTGTTCTATCGACGTTGATAGTATCCAATCGCTCGCAGACGAAATAAGGCTATATGCGGGTTGCGTCGTTCCTCCCGTTCATTCTGTTATTCCCCTCGTCCCCCATAAAGATCGGAGGGGTCGAAGGTTCAACTCAATCCAGTTTTTAATCAGGGCCGGGCTGGATGTGCATCCGTGGCCGGAACCGATTCTGGAGCCGCGGGCGTGCTGCATGCGAAAGCCCTTGGTGGGGAAAAGAAAAGTATCCCTCAAAGTTGTCATCATCCATCTGGCGCCTCGCTTCATTAACAGTATGGTACCTTATTCCCTGAATCTCATGCGGTGTACTGCCATGATAACTGGCGATGGTCCAACCCTAGCTGCAACTCTATCCGGGAAATTAGTCCTTTGCAACATCAATCATGGTGCCAAGCAGGCCCTCCGACAAACTTTCACTCTCACTCGCTAATAAATTGGATCTTCTTCCGGGGGCAGCTTCAATCCTGGTAACAGGCCTTACTTCCCTCTTCATAGGAATGAGGCCCCGGGGGGGTGGCGCGGGGCAGACGGATACGCCAACCTTTTAACTTCATGTCGCGTACGCCGTTTTGCGCAAGGCGAGCACTCGATTCTCTATATTACAGTTCCAGTCGGCCCCCCTCCCCCCCCCCTTCCATGTTACCTGCCACGCACGAGAATGCGAAGCAACATATGCAGTCGCTGGGGGGCGCACCACTGTCATGGGATGGTGACAGCTTTTTCGA